ATATATAAAAAAAATAAAAATAAAAATAAAATAAAATAAAATTTCTTTATTGATTAAGTTATTACATATGTGTCCTTATCCCCACATTACCCACCATCCCTCCCACTCATGCCCTAACCACCCCCGCCCCTGTTGTCTGTGTCCATTGGTTAGGCCTATATGCTTGCATATAAGTTCTTTGGTTGATCTCTCCCCCTTACCCCTCCCCTCCCCTACCTTCCCTCTGAGGTTTGATGGTCTGATCAATGCTTCTCTGTCTCTGGATCTGTTTTTATTCATCAGTTTATGTTGTTCATTATATTCCATAAATGAGTGAGATCATGTGATTGGCCTAAATTCTCAAGTGTTCTTGATATTTTTTTCCTATATGGGGCAAAATTTATTACTCATGAATTTGTATTTTATTCCTTGGGCCTTCTACTGCTTTTATAAATGTTGACATTTATTCCAACAGCAACAACGGATCCATTTCTGGATTCTGTCCCACCTAAAACTTCTAGAACTCTTGAACAGCCAAGGGCAACACTGGGTAATGTTTTTAACAGAAAAATCGTGCTTTGTTTTCCATCAAAAGAAAAATCCATGTGAATGCCTTCCTTCCAAATGACCATTTCTTTCCATCACATCTAATCATTTATTTCTTTCCTATTTCTGAATATATATACTTTTTTCCCCCTATAATGCAGGCATCTCATGTTTCATTTTGGTCTCTTTTTTTCTTTGTACTGTAATAGATTATATTTTTCCATCCCTAAAGGAATGAAAAGTTTTGAAAACTGCATGGATACTTTCATCGTCCATATCACCCATCTCATGTGTTTGTGGCCTGTATCACCTCTCTTTCCTGCATTGAGTCTGCCTGGAGTCAGCTACTGAACAATTATCACTCCAACCTTTCCCTGACTTTACATTATTATTTCATTCATCAGCTTTGAAGACTACCTGCATTTTCATCCTTAATCATGTCCTTGTAGCATGTGCTTTGTAACACCAGCTGAAAGCATGTGAAAACTCCTAAAATACCTCATTTTAACTGGAACTATTTGGTGGGATGGGGTGTTTGTATTTTCAGCTCCAAGTGAAACGCCATTTATTCCTCAAAAACTGGAAATCATTACCAGTCCTGAAATGCAACCTACAACACCTGGTAACTAATGACATTTGTATAGTTGTTTACTTTGAAAGAACAGATCAATTCAAAAAAATCAGTCATGTTGCTCCTTTCAGAATATTTTCAGTGGTAAACACTTCTCTTCATTCCCTACCATGACATTGTGTACTAGTAGATATTGTAAAGAATTATTATTTTTTGGCTATACTTTCAAATTCTCCAACCAGAAAATAGCAGCAGGATTATAGATGATAATTATTTTAAATATATTCCCTCCTAATTAACGCACTCAGATACCATGAGATCAGAGACTTTTTCTCAAAGTAGTCCAAGTATAAAGAGCCCCAAGAGAACTCTGCAGTCCTGAGCATGGTGAAGAAAAATGGGCAAAAGACAGGTAACACAACCTCATTTTAAAATAGAAAATTATAGGAATAATGAAGTTCATTAATTCCTGGTGAGGTTAGTAAAATGCTACAGAATTAAAGAAGTCCTGGACTTCCTATTCTCTAAAACCCAAATAGTTTATTTGTGTTTCTCCCCAGCTGTTTGGTAAATCATCTTTTGAGTTCTTAAATTGCACCATCTGTTCTCAAATTCTTCAAAGGTGCTCACTTTGTAGTACATTTAATTGAAGAGTTCTCACATAGAAAATTAATTCCTTTGGCCCAATCAGCACTTTTATTGAGCACCTGCTGTGAATAAGGCACAGTGCTGGGCATTCTAGGGATACAAAGAAACATAAAGCAGTTCTTGCACTCAAGAAGTTTACAAGTTTACACTTAAACCTGATCCACCCTGAGGAAAATCATTTCTGAAAGCTATTTTAAATCTTCTTTCAGCTCCCCTGCAAACTACACCTAAACGACGCCTCAGGCCCAAACCACCAAGAACCAAGCCTGGTAAACAAATGTCTCTTTAACCTTTCAGGATATTTAATTCCAAAACGATAATATCCATCTCCTTGCCATAAAAATAAGTGACATGACTCTACAGGTTAAAGTTTCTTTACAAAATTTGAAGGTAACTGAAGATGAATAATTAATGATAATGAATAACAAGAGTCAATAATTTCTGGTAAACTTTTATTAAAAATTATGTAAGTGATGTTCTTGCATGTGAATTTTGGTATAAACCTAGACACAAGACTTGCTATCACATGGTAGAGTGAGATATATAGTATAATTCTTTTTCTTGGTATGCCATCTCTATTCAAGTATTTATAAGGTGATAGTTCGTGGTTTTGGGTGCCTACTATGCTTTCAGTTTTTCCCCAGGGCAATGGCTGAGATGGAAAGGACATGACCCCAGTTTTCCAATGGCTTATGATCTTATGAAGATAATATATCATAAACAATGAGAGAACAACATAAGATCATATAATCTACTTGTGAGACTAATACTCATGTAGAAGGTCAGAAAAAGAAAGTAAGAGTTGAGGATGCAAGCCTCAAAATCTGTGTAGGATTTGGGCAAAGGAAAAAGCAGTGGGGAACAGCATTATCTTCAGGCACAGAGTTTGGGTGGTGGAGGCAGCTTATCAGCCTGGAGGTGATTTTCCTCATTGTCAAATAACACACTCAGAATCATACTCAACAACTGGGTTTTGCTTAGTCCTTTGTACTATAAGTACAGTGGTTTTATTATAGTCTATATCATTTTGAGTTTGAAAATTCTTTTCCAAAACGTTTACTCACTGCATACTTTATAAACACTGACTACTAACTGTGGCAGGCTTTTAACACGTCATTCAGTTCCTCTTTGGAGGACGTCTTTTTATTGTCTCTAGGATATCATAATATCTCTTTTCCTTTCCATCACCAGAAAGAACCAAAAGTCCTGGAACAACTACTTCTAAACTTTCTGTGAGCCCTGAACCTACATGGACCACACTGGGTAATGATATGTCCTTAGTGGGTGTGTTACTTCTTGTCACCATGGGAAATCCAGGGCCCCAGCTTTCATGTAATGTCTCAGTCAGTATTCTAATGGGCTCGTTGCAGCAGTACCGAGTATCTCATGTAGCACATCGACTATGGCTTTCATGGTTTTGGATAGCTGGCCCTATAGTAATTGGATCTGAATGCAACCTTGTACATCACCCTATGCCTTGGAAAGCTATAAAACCACTGCTTCTTTCTCATCTTCTATCCAATCACTGTATCTGAAGTTGGGTCTTACACACAGTTGTTGTTGTTGTTTTTCATAAAGCCCTTAATTTCAACTTTAGACTGCATTTGGAAAAATGACTATTATGGTATTAGTAGAATTTCTTTATTATGCTGCAGATCATAGCATATCTATCAGTAAATATTAATTTTAAAATATATCTTCTTCTGGTGCTTAAAGACTTAGATGTAACTGAGGAATATGAAATAGGAGCACAAAATGATTACACTGATTTTTTTTAAAGCATGGATTAAAATCACACTGTCTTTGTGTAGTTATTATGACTACTTAGTAGCAATGCTATTTCTTTAGGTCAAATATACTCTATAAATGTTTTTTCAAACCAGATGAAAATTTATCACTGTATTTCCATTAAATGCTGCTCTTGAAATACTCTTTTAATGGACTATTTCCAAAATCTCCCAAGATGATGGGCTCATTCCACTTAAAGTATAGGTTTTTCTTTGTAGTTTTAGACACTAAAATGTCTAAAAATGGATTTGTTTGTTGATTCTTTTTGTTTCTTTATTTTTCCAGCTCCCAGTAAAACACAATTTATTTCTTTGAAACCTAAAATCCCTCTGAGCCCAGAAGTGACACACGTCAAACCTGGTAATTACCCTGATTTTTTTTTTAATATTCCAAGAGTAGGATTGAAAAGTTGTTTTATGCCACTCTTTGGAGCAAGAACTTCTGACTTGTATTTTGGTGTTTGACACATTTTGCCATGAAAAATGCAAAAATGCAATGACATGCTCTCATTATAACCAGCCCCTCTGATGTTATCACAGCGCTGCTCTGAGCTATGGGGAGGAGCATTATGTTCATGACCTTCACAGAGAAAACACAGACATAGAATGATGTACATGATTGAGGACTCCCTTGTCTAGGACTATGAAATAGTTTTCAGTACCAACGTTGACTGGAACTCTTATGACACTGAACAATCGCCTTTCAGCTGGAAAGGAAGAGTGTTTCCATCCCCTAAGAACTCTGCCTTCTGTGAAGCTTCTTAGTTTTCAGGCTAAAAAGTGTGTGTCTCCCTGATACTCCATGACTTCTTTCTCTCCTGGGGCTGATTTCTGAACACTGACTTCTGTTTACTTTTCAGGAGATATTAAGGGTGTTTTGCTGAAGAAAAGGGTGTTTTGCTCTTTTACAGGGAGGGGTTATTCTGTAAAATTTAAGACAAAGATAATTCCCTGCATAAGGACTGTGGGACATATTAAAGGACCAAATCTTCATCACTTTCTATCCAGAATATATACAATAGTTTACATGTTGACTTACATGATTGATATGTATGGATCTCTGTCACTACTCATCATTTTCATCTAAATTTTAAATCCTTAGCTCTGGGAAGAATATATTTCTCACTGTAATGTTCAATGGATTTTTCATTAATTTATGTTTACAAAGCATAGTTATTAAAGCAAGTGATTTTCTGCTTTAGTGAGCAAGCTTTATTTTTTTTTGCAATGAAATTCATAAGGAAGAAAAAGTAACTGCTCAGGAAAAGAATTCTAATGATCCCCTTTAAAGAGGCAGTGTAGGTCTCAGACTGAAGAAAATTAGGGGTTAAGGGAATATGACCATGGGTGAGGTCTCCAAGTCAGGACATAGAATGATGAATTCTTACTCAGGGAGGCTATTTGCAGAAAGAGGCATAGCTCATGATACTCAAGAGCTCTACAAGTTTAAAATAAAAAAACACAGACAGCTATATGCGAGAAGGGTTTCATCTACATTTATTTTTAAATATGCTTGGAGGACTTTAGATTACGATAGTAACTATTACATTTATGTTAGATTTGCATAGAAGACTATTACCAAGCAGACTGTATGAGAAACGTTACTGTATGTTTGGGTCATCAAATTTAAATGAATATTTCTCCAATCTAATTATTTCTGTTATTACAAATTAAAATTTGAAAACATAAAAAATGCCTCCAAATGTTAATTGTAATTTACACAAGATAATTTACATTATTAACTTCAGTGGTTTCTAAAAAGTTTTCTGACAGGCAGTACATTAATACAAATAAGAATTGGAGGGTGTGTTCTTATTATTCTAAGGTATTTGAGCAGAGACTTCTTAATTTGACATTTCCTTTTAAAGTGTAGAAAATTATTTGGAAGCTTAATGAGTTTATGTTCCTTTCATTTCTACCTCCTAATCACTTAAGAATAGCCACATTTTCCCCCTAACAGCAAGAAAAGCCACTTCAGAATCCGCACCAAAATGTATGCCAACTCAAGTTGACATTGAGGCAACACACAACACAGAGTAATGACTGAATGTCTGAAAACTGTTGCTTGTGTTTTAGCTTTTTAAAAGAATTTATTTATTTTTACTTTAGGGCAGGCCACCGTTATAGCTCTGCTGAAAATTTCTGTTTCTAGCCAAGGTTCAGGAGAGCAAATAAACCACCAAAAGCTGTTTGATTTGAGTGATTCATTGCCTTCCCCAGCCCTCTCCTCACTCTCTTTTTTTCCATTTCACTTTCCATGCAGGCTGCTTTTCCTTTGGTTTTCCCTGGTGGTTAAACTAACAAGTAAAAACCACCATTGGTTTTGGCTTGTTTCATAAGCAGAATCCAGTGCTTTCTTGAAAATCCCAGCCATCTACTCTGTCTCTTCTTGTCTACCTCATCCAATAAGAATTGTTTCTTTCACAGTTAATCTTTGACATTCCACTCTTCAACTTTTAGCACTAAAAAATGGGAGAGTGCTCCAATTAATTACAGGTGTGGTGGATGGAGTTGTACATTGTTCTCTTTGCTAGCCACAAATCCATGAGCAAGTTGTGTATTTCTTTGTGTTGTGTTGATGTGAGTGGTGTAGTTATTTGCATGCCACTCAGTTTTTTTTTATGGAACATTTCTATATCTTTATCAACAACACCTAGATAGTGTCAATAGAGGAACTCATCAAAACATGTATTTGTTTTTAATAAACACTGACTTTTTTTATATGGAGGTGAATTGGAAGTTTAATTGATAGGAATACATACCTATGTGGTCTGCGCCTGTCCAGAGTTCAAAAATGCAGATTTTTCTTTACAAATTTAAAAGACAGTGTTCTTTAATCTTTGTAAAGTCTTAAAAATGCTGTGAGCAGCAAATTTTACTTACATTTTCACTCTTTTAGAAGGTACCTGTGTAGAAATTAAAACATGAATTACAACCTCGAAGTTTCAGAAGAATTTTTGTTGCTTGCTATTTTCAGATGTGGATCCTTTAAAAATATTTATTATATTTAATGTATTGGTGCTTACTGTTTTTTTTCCTTTTCTCCTGTAGAATCTGAAACGTTGAGGCTCCTCTCTCTCTCTCTCTCTCTCTCTCTCTCTCTCTCTGCCAATTTGAATGACATTGAGGATTTGTTATCTGATAGAATATTTAAATGATACTGTTATTCAATTTTTTCAGCATTTCAATGAAATCTGAGCCTGCCTTTTGACTTCTGCTGATTTACTAACCAAAATGGACTAAATTTTATAAGTGAATCAATTTTTTCACCAGCAATAATGCTAATAAACATGGAGAACATCATATGAGCATTTTGGTTTCTTTTTAGACCATAAGTTTGATTTTTTTTTATAAAATAATGTCAGATCCAGCCAAGCTGAAAATCATCCAAAAGAAACAGAATTCAGACACAGGTACAGGTCTAATGAGTCTGTTCCTTCTTCCTTGGACCAACCTGACTGCCCTGCATGGGAGCAACATGGCTGGTGGACAAGAGCTCCATGCAACCTTTCAGAGCTGCCTGGCCTCCCTTTAGTGGAGTATGTCCTCAAGCACTAGAAACAGTTTTCAGAATATTGTGTAGTAAATGCAATAGCTCAAAATCTACCAAAAAAATATAGAAATCTCAATTCTTACTTTTATTGTGGTTTGCGGAGAGGATGTGGGTGTTGAGCTTTTCGGTTGTTAAGCCAGGAGAACCTGATTGCTCATCAATGAGAGAATACTGTTTCTACTAAAGGACATTTAGTTTCTGTCTTAGATGGTGCTCTTCAGCATTGCCTTTGATAATACTTGCTTTTATTGCAGCCCCAGAACCTCTGACTCCAACACCATCACAGTCAACAATAGGTAATGAAGTTTTCGTTAGTTAGTGAAAAAGAATTATCTCTCTTTTTTACAACCTCTATCTTCAACTTTGTCCTTAATTCTGGCTTTTTAAAAATTTATTTTGCCATGGCTGGTGTGGCTCTGTTGGTTGGGCATCATCCCATGAACCAAGAGGTAAAGAGATCGCTGGTTCAATTACCCGCCCGAATTGTAGGCTTGATCCCTGCTAAGGGGACAGGCAGCCTCACATCAATGTTTCTCTCTCTCTCTCTCTCTCTCTCTCTCTCTCTCTCTCTCTCTCCCTTCCTTCTCTCTAAAAATGAATAAAAATATCTTTAAAAAAGAGATTTAAAAAATAAAAAAGTTATTTCTTCATCATCCTTTAGCTCTTTCTTTCAGCCATTTTTGTCAGAAGATAAACTCTCTGCCTGTGTTCAACAAAGTAGAGGTTCTGAGGTAGCATGAAAGCCATACTGATTTTGATTTGACACATTCTTTTCATTTTTATTTTACATGCTTTATTGTCCTTCCTTATATTTGAGGAATGTGTCCTGAGCTGCTTTTAACCTGGTGAGGACCATGGCTTTCCCAGGACAAGTTTTGCTTTCACATTTGGAGGTGTTTTTCTTCCTTTTCGAAACTCCAATATTTGCAGATTTTCTTGAAAGACATTATGGTCTTTCCAGATCTAAATATCCTGATATGTCACTAGGAAATTCATTAAAAGAGAGAAATATAAACACTAACCCTAATGTTATAGCTTCTTTTTCTTCAGGAGAGCAAAATACTGTGTTCTTCTGGTGCCATCTTAGCCAATTACCCATATTTTCCTTCATACACGAACTGTTGGTTACTTTATTGCATTCACATATTCCAAATAAGAATCGTACCTTTTTCTTTCCAGTTCTCTTTCCAAACTTAACTCACTGACTATATTTTTGTTCATTTTGTCTAAAAGCACAGGGATCAATTTAAATAAAAAAGGGAATTTTTATGTGGCTAAATTTTTCATCATTTATATTTGTTCAACTTAGTAATTAAAATTAAACATTTTTCATATTTATTTCATATTAATATTTCATATTAATCATTTTTCCTTTGATCTTGATTCTTTTTTGATGATGTTTCATGCAGCCTTAGAACCTGGAACACTGGAAACCAAACCTTCAACAACAACATTAGGTAATGCAGTTATTGAGTGACCTCTTTTTCGGACTGCTGGTGGCTTTATTAATAGGCTCATATTAATGGATTAATCCATTAATATTCATTTTTGTGTGTGTTTTCTATTCTTACTCCCAGAGAAACACTTTTAATCTATAGTTTTATAAACTGTATCTCAATTTTAAAATATACCTTCCTGAAATAATTTCTGAATTCAAAATACATCTTGCTGATTTGCAGATTTTTTTAATGCTAAGTGCAAAACTTTTTCTTTTGAATCTTAGGCCAAAGAAATTTTAATTGTTATCCCTAGTGGCTTTTTAAACATAACTTTTCTCATGTTCCTATTGAACAAGCACTTTCAAAATTTTTATGAGACTGTTTACTCTAAGTTATACAGAGTTCTAGGTTTTCCCATCTCAAAATGGATGAACAAGGGATCTCTTGAACAGTGATTGTTTACAAATCTTTGTCCAAAAAAATATAATTGAAGATTCACTTAACTGGCCAAAACAATATAATTAAAGATTCACTTATTATTTAATGATAGAAAGGTACAAAACAGAAGGGTACATATCCACAATAAATCAAAGAGTTTAAATGTGCTTCTAAGGTATATGTAAAATTGTTTGTCCTGTATTAACTAGCTAATTTTCTTTCTCCAGCTCCACCAAAGACCAAACGACCAGGTCGTCGCCCCCGCCCTAAAACCACACGTAGTCCAGATGTGCCCAAGTCCAAACCTGGTAAATGTGATGTTGAGGGTTTCAATTAACACAGAAAGTGGAATATGATAGCTTCTAATATAGTAGCTATCTACTACCTACGTTGCTGGACTTTAGGAACCACCGTAGTTGATGTTTATATTTAAGTATCTGTACTAACCATCCATATTCATGTTACATGAATATACACATTTATATTTACAGGTACACACAATAGTAAGCTGACTCACTAAGTGTATTATTAAAGTAGGGCACCCTAACATCTTACGGAGGATGCATATTCATGGTAGATGAGCTGTGGGAGAAGAGGAGGGAAAGGGGAAAATAAAAGGGAGAATCACACCCAAAAAGAGCACACAGGTTAAGATGGAAGAGTAATGTTTACTTCCTCAAGATGCTGCTTCTTGATATAATTATTCTTTTTGATTTTTCACTTCTGTAGCTCTGCAACCTGCTACGGTACAACCGGAGCTCTGGGTGCCCACAGTCGGTAATTCTGCTCTCCTCCAACTGCTCTCATGTTGTCACTTTTGCTTTTCCTACTCTCCACCAGGCATGACTGCACTTCTGCCAGATCACCACAATTTCATTCCATGCGTCCCCTCAGTTTCCTATCTGGGTCTGAAGAACCCGATGATAGGAGACTTCTAGAAGAATCCTGTGTGCTTGTTTAAGGAAGCTCTGTGGCCTTGGATACAACTTCCTGGTTTTTCACTAACCCTCTGCCTTTCCATCCCATGTGTCCTTGTGGTGAAAAGACCATCTATTCTCCCAGACAGAGGCTTCTGTGCGCATCCTGAACTTGACAAATGGCAAAATTTCATTTCAGTGCCCTCATTATCATTTCATTGATTTACTCATTCAACTTGTTTGACATTCTTTCTTTTTAAAAGCTGCATGAAATAATGGCTTCTTCAGCTTTTTTGTTTCTTTGAAAAAAACTTTTTGAGTATGTTTTGACAATTAGAAGGACAAATACTATCCTTGGTCTACGATCCAATGTAAAAATAGGATGGTCTGTAACTTGAGAACATTAGATGTCCTAAGCTGGTTTTATTGTTTTTAGTACTCATGCTGTTGATGATAATTATTTCATTGTAAGTTCTCATCATTCACAATAAATCTGTCACCACTTTACTTTAGAAAATTCCAGAAATTAGTAGCCATGTAACATTGTATAAAATTTCAAGTGTTAAAGATTATTTCCCAGGTCCCCTACTAAGCAAGTTTCAAATTTCTACCATATTATTTTTATACTGAAAAAAATAAATTAAGAGATAGAGCTATTATACTTACCACATTTGAAATTACTTATGTAGAAAAGAAGTCTTATTACAGTTCTCGTTATTTTTGCTCAAAGACACATGTTGAGCATTTCCTGGAGTTTTTTTCTTTTGGACATATTTCCCATTCTTCCCACAACCTAGTAGTTAATTTTGCTGTATATCACTGAAATTATTTAGTATATTTGCTCGAGCCTATATGTCCTTAATTCTGACAGTTACAGCCATGACCATTATGCTAATTTTAATACTTTTTTCTTTAGCATCAGAACCATCCAAAAGACCCTAACCCACACATAGACCAGACGTACCTCAAATCCAGCCTGCTAGCCACTACTTTCAATGCCTTGATTTATAACTAGGAAAACTTTGTGTCAGTAACATTAATCTTGACATTCACAGCTCTGCTATGACACTAATTATGACACCTTTTTTCCTTCAGATTCAAAACCACCAAAGCAATTACTTCCTAAACCCCAAACCACAGCAAAACCAGATATGCCATCAACTAAATCCGGTAAACATAAGTTCCAATGCTTTGGTTTAAGAAGCTCTTTCTTTGGGAATGTTGCTGAAAATGCTTACAGTTTGTTATATCACATAAAACATAGAAACCCAAGCACCATGACTTTGTTCATTATTGTCTCAAAGTAGTCACACTAATGTTGTAAGTGTTAAATGAACAAATCAATGTGTGGGAAATTAGTACATTTTACAACTGATACTGACAGCTGCTGTTTTCTTAAGGAGTTTGTAGGCGTTGTTTTCTGAGTCTGGGTGTGTAACGAATGGGAGCCTGGTTTTCTGTATCGGGACCATTTCTGAAAGCGCGGTGAGCAGCCACCGCCAGGCAGCACTTGGGAGGCTGGCACTGCATTCTTCCTTTGCGGGCACATAATCAGAGCTTGGCCTCCTCTCAAATACCTTATTGACATTTTAAACAGCAACTATTTACTAAGCGATTTCCTACCAAATAAGGGGATGTTTATATAACAGTTCTGGAAATTCAACTGTTTTGCAATTGAAAATTTCTCCTAAGATTCCCATGAGTATAAAATTCTAACTTACTAAGAGCATCTCTCATGAAGCCTATCAAGAAGACAATTTATATCACTTTTGAATTTATATCAGGTTCTCTAGCCTCTGAATTAAGCATCAGTGATCACCTAAAAGTTTAGACTTACTGCTTTTATCATTTTTATCTGTTTGTTTTTTGTGCTGCAGGCTTTGAGCCTGTTACATTGGAGGCTGGAGCTCCTTCCATAACCATAGGTAATGATGGCTGTCTTCCTTCTTGTCAGTGTTTCTCTGAGCTTGCTCCTCTCATCTCTGTCGTTACCTGTGTTCTCTTATGTAAACGGTTATTCACCATCTTTTTCATTCATTTCCAACGTTGTTAGGGACCTTTTTAACATTGGGAGGCCATCTGGCATCTGCTGCTCAGCTGACAACCCCTGATGTTACTCTTCCCTGGGTCACCTTCGGAGGCTCTCAGATTGCTTCCGGCCCTTGACGCTGTCAGGAGTCACAGGGGCTCTCTCCATCCATCCTTTAAACCAGGACATGTTTGAGATTTCTGTTTTTATGTGTATAATTTATAAATGTGGGAGGGGATCAATGAAAAAGCTGGTTGGGGCTTGACACAATCCATAATTATTTCTTTCTCGAAAAATCTCTTGCTTCCTTGATTCCATACTATTCAAACACAACTTGAATGAATGTCAATTTTCTGTTGAAAAATTAAGCTTATGGTGCTGAATTCCAAACAAAATAAGGATTCCCCTCTTTTGTTTGAAGGCAGTCAGTTTTGAATATGGTTTTCATCCTGTTGTTCTCGCTTTCTCCCTCTCTTCTGTCTGCCATGTTTTCCATTAGTTCAGAAAATGTTCTCAGATGTGGCTTAACCTAACTCAGTGCTATACGTCTTGGACAGTCAATAAAAAGCAATCTTCATATAATTGCTTACAGGGTTTTTAGTGATAAAAATGTTTTAATGTTACGTTTAATCTTCTGAATTTAATGAAAAATAGAAACTAATTTAAAACTAGGGAGTCAACAAATCTTAATTTCATGCCTATGCATAATTTAATCATTACAGAATTTAAAACTAGAGAGGTACTAAATCTTAACTTGATCTCTATGCATAATTTAATCATTACAGAATTCTAGGCATCCTATTTATCCAGACAAAAAATTGAATTATTGCTTTTCAGAATTTTTTCTTAATCATCTCTTCTTCTCACTAGAATAATTATATCCTAATTATCCATTTGAAATAAATGAATAAATAAGAAATGGTAAGAAAATGTGTCACATTTATTCTGGAGAAAGTCAAAAGTTTATCTTTTGTATAACTGCCACAGATCTCTGATAAACAGACTGACTAAGATTTTTAAAAATTCTCCTCACTACCAATATTCCTCAAAACATATATCAAGAATGATGGTAAAAGGGTTTCAGATACAAACAGAGATTTTCATAATACATTTTCAGAGTAATTTAAAATACATATCAGACAATGAATTATCTGATTTTGAGGGGGGGGGGGAGGGCAAGTTTCCAGTATAGTTGGAATCAGATAATTAAACACACAAAAAAAGAACTTTTCATTGGCCTCATAAGGATGCAAAGTGCAAAGGGTATTGAGATAAATGGATACCAGAGTACAGCCAGTTATTGGAGAACAAATACTATTTTTCCAGAGTTCAGAACTGCTTTTTAAACATTACAGAGCTAAGAAGATTTATTTTCAAGGTGATTTTCCCCTGTGTTTCTTAATCTCCATTCCTCATTGTATTGCTTTTGGTCAGTTCCTGCCACAGACATTGAACCTGAAAGTCTGAGAACTGAGGCTCCCTGGACAACATTAGGTAATGACCTTCTATGTCTTGAAGCAAGTGCATTTTCTGCTCATTGTCTAGCCTATTCCATTACTATCTTGGCCAGGGGCCTTTCTCTTTCCTAGGATTTTTCTCATCATCCTCTCTTGTCATTCCACTAGATCCCTCGCTTTGTACTGAAGATGTCTAAAATGAGTCACTTGGTTAGAATATAAGCCTGTTTGCAGCTAATGCAAAGCATCTATCTCCCGTTCTATCCAGCTTTATTAATACTTTACAGGGCCTGTGATTCTGCCCAGTGCTCGGTGATAAGGCTGAATTTCAAATACAATTCTGCCCCATAAACATCTTTTATAACTCTGTGTACATCAACAGAAAGTTGTTATAAAATATGCAGGGCACCTTTGTTGTCTACCAAGGATGTTAAGTAATGAAATGTGCTTTTCCCAATCATGTTTCATGGGATATATGCCTAACTGAAGTATTATTTAAGTAAAGTCCCCCAGAAGTTGGTGAGCTGGGGTCCCTCTCTAACCTGAAAAGTACATGCTGCGCTCTGACTTCCCTTGGTCAGGGTCATCGTTGAAAATCTGACACCAACAATAACAATAATGGTTTCAGGTTATTCAAATGTTATACAGACTTTTTCAAAATAAATGTTAGGAGGCCCCCCAAAAAGTATTTTTTTGCCTATGGATGACAAAGAAATTTTTTGAAATAAAGAGGAAAATTTCTCAAGACTCAAAGAAATCTAGCAAAATTTTAGAAAACCTAGAGCCATGTATAAATCCTTTTTAAGTTTCTGGAGTTATTTGATATTAACCAGTTTCCTTTCCTCAGCTCCAAAAACATCAAAACGACCAAGAACACGTCCTCCACGTCCCAAACCTTCAAAACGTCCCAAACCTTCAAAACCTCCCAAACATCCCAAACATGAAACCACGCCGAGCCCAGAGGCACCTGCGACCGCACTAGGTAAATATATGGCCCCTGGTGCCTGTGGAACCTCCTAGGATGTGATACTGGGATGCCAGTTTAAATTGCCTCCTAATTACCTCTATGACCCTTCAGGGTGAAGGCCCTAGCCAACACCTGTGACTTCCTTACAGGGCTGGTATCTTCTTGGTACCGGTGTATTTATTTACTTCTCTGACCACTGAATTACATTTTTCTCTGTGATTCTGACAAAGTTCATTTTCAAGAGAATTTGATAACTTTTCTCCTGTGTTTAACGTTTCTTTTTAAAAAGTACTTCTGATCATTTCTTGCTACAGACATTGAACCTGTCACTCCTGGGACATCTTTAGGTAATGATTCTTTATGTCCTTCAGCAAGAGCTTTTTCATATTCATTGTCAAACTTATCTATGGTGCTATATAGATGATGACGTCAAAATGTGTCATCCTACTACAGTATTCATCTTAAAATCTAAACAGCTTTCTTTCTAACAGAAATGGGCATGGACTTAATTCAGAACAGCTGTCTTCTCCACATCCCAGCTTGAAATTGCATCTCTGTTTAAATAGTACTGTTGGTGAGAGCTGAGGTCCAAATGTGATTATCTATATGACCCTTAACTATATTCTAGTAAATTACCAAGTGTAAAAATTGTCCAAGCCTAATCATTTTAAATTGTTATAAGTGAATATAGGGTGGTTTGAACTCCTCTCACACCATCATAGTTTAGCAGTGATTTGTAATCAGTTTTGGATTAAGGGCATTTCAAGAAAATGAGAGTTTGTCATATTTATTTCTTAAACATAATTATAATGTAATTTTTAATCTCTGGAGAACCCTTAATTATAAATGGAAACCTATTAATATACTAAAGGAGAAAATTTCAACCCAAAGTAACAGTTTTCTCCACTTAAAGAAATTCTGACAAGTTTTAGAAAGCTTAGAGTTACGTTTTATCATCCTATTCAGAGTTTCTGGAGCCATCAGCACTATGTTAATACTAATTTTTCTTCCTTCAGCTCCAACAACAACAAAGAGACCCCGTCGTCCACGTCCCAAACCTAAAAAAACCACACCCCATCCAGAAGTACCTCAGATTCCACTGGGTAAATATGTGGTTTCTCATTTAAGGAATCCAAACAGTCACCCAAGTTGGGGTCCTAAATTCTATGCACATAATTGATATAGGTCCTATGTATCTATTAAGACTAAAAGCTACTGGTTAGGAGAACATGACCTGAGTACCCCATGCCTCCTATGTGGGAATCTTCTCCTTCAATGTACCTTTTGCTATTTGAGTCCACTCATGTTAAAGCTTGCTCAGTAAAGTATGAACCTATGCAATCAATTCAACTACTTTCATTAATCATGTTTAAACCCCCATAACCATATTAGCAGCTGTGAGATACTTCAGAAGTAGTGAGTATGTTTTATTTCCCCAATCAGTTCGTACTATAGCTGTAAACAAAAGCTGTTCCTGCACAAACCAGTAGAAAATAACGTAAGGCGGCATGTTTATATGAATATAAAATAACTTCTCAAATGGTGCAATTACTATATGCTAGGAGTGTGGGGAGTATTTGGAACAGGAAAAAATCCAGGATAATTAGAAAGAAATCAGTACAGAATTTGGACTATTGGCAGATAAGCAGGGAATGTGTTGAAGCTGGCATACCAAACAGAGGATGACTTGTTGATGCCATCCTGTTAAATGGGCTCATGGGATGGATTAAGGGGGGGTCTGGGCCTTAGCCAGTTGGACTCAGTGGATAGAGCTTCAGCCTGTGGACTGAATGGTCCTGGGTTTGATTCCAGTCAAGAGCACATGCCCAAGTTGTGGGCTCTATCCCCAGTAGGGGGCGTGGGCGTGCAGGAGGCAGCCAATCAATGATTCTCTCTCATCATTGGTGTTTCTATCTCCCTCTTCCTCTCCCTTCCTCTCTGAAATCAATTTTACTAGTACATCCTTCCTCTCTGAAATCAATTATATATATAAATTATAAATAAAGGGGAGTCTGGGATGTCTGCTCAAGAGCTTACATTTGATCCAGTGGGCTTTTTTAGAACTGAAGATGCCTAGCTTAATATGATACAACAAACTGAGAGGTTGTTCCTCATCTTAATGATGTTAAATGCCATTGTTTCCACTAAGGATTAGTCTCTTAGTGAGTATAGTCTCAGCTTCCTTTAGGCTCTCTGTTGTATGTGTGGTAGATAGACTAGGGTGACCCCCTGCTCTTCACCCCACTTCATCTCCCACCCCCATAATTCTTATCTCTTGGTGTTAAAGCTTTGTGTAATCCATCTTGTCCCTCCCCCTCCCCTCTCCCTTAGAAGCATTATTTTTATTGGCAAGATGAATTTTCTGACATTTCATGAATTCACAAAAAATCTCTTTGGTTCCTTTTATTGTTTTTGATCAGTTCCTGCCACAATCTTTGAACCAGTTATTCCTAGAACCGAAGCTCCTGGAACAACACTAGGTAATGACACATCATGTTCACCAGCATCTGCTTTTCCTGCTCATTTCAACCCATGTCATCACCCTCACAACCATGGATCTTCCGGCTTCACAGGACGAGTAAAAGCTACTGGTTAGGAGAACATGACCTGAGTACCCCATGCCTCCTGCTTGGGAATCTTCTCCTTCAATGTACCTTTTGCTATTTGAGTCCGTTCATGTTAAAGCTTGCTCAGTAAAGTATGAGCCTATACAATCAATTCAACTACTTTCATTAATCCCGTTTAAACCCCCATGACCATAGTAGCAGCTGTGAGATACATCAGAAGTAGGAAGTAAGTTTTATTTCCCCAATCAGTTTGTACTATAGCTGTAAACAAAAGCTACTCCTGCATAAACCAGTAGAAAATAACATAAGGTGGCATGTTTATATGATGTAAAATTACTTCTCAAATGGTGCAATTACTATATGCTAGGAGTGTGGGGAATATTTGGAACAGGAAAAAACCAGGATAATTAGAAGAAATCAGTACAGAATTTGGACTATTGGCAGACAAGCAGGGAATGTGTTGAAGCTGGCATACCAAACAGAGGATGACTTGTTGATGCCATCCTGTTAAATGGGCTCATGGGATGGATTAAGGGGGAGTCTGGGCCCTAGCCAGTTTGACTCAGTGGATAAAGCTATGGCCTGTAGACTGAAGGGTTCTGGGTTTGATTCCAGTCAAGGGCACATGCCCAGGTTGTGGGCTCTATCCCCAGTAGGGGGCATGCAGGAGGCAGCCAATCAATGATTCTCTCTCATCATTGATGTTTCTATCTCCCTCTTCCTCTCCCTTCCTCTCTGATATCAATTTTATATCCCTCCTCTTTGAAATCATATATATATATATATAAAGGGAAGTCTGGGATATTTACTCAGGAGCTTAAATTTGATCCAGTGGGCTTTTTTAGAACTGAAGATGCCTAGTTTAATATGATACCAAAAACTGAGAGGTTGTTCCTCATCTTAATGATGTTAAATGCCATTGTTTCCACTAAGGATTAGTCTCTTAGTGAGTATAGTCTCAGCTTCCTTTAGGCTCTCTGTTGTATGTGTGGTAGATAGACTAGGGCAGTGATGGCGAACCTTTTGAGCTCGGCGTGTCAGCATTTTGAAAAACCCTAACTTAACTCTGGTGCCGTGTCACATATAGAAATTTTTTGATATTTGCAACCATAGTAAAACAAAGACTTATATTTTTGATATTTATTTTATATATTTAAATGCCATTTAACAAAGAAAAATCAACCAAAAAAAATGAGTTCGCGTGTCACCTCTGACAAGCGTGTCATAGGTTCGCCATCACTGCCTTAGACAGTGGTTCTCAACCTTCTGGCCCTTTAAATACAGTTCCTCATTAGGCTCTCTGTTGTATGTGTGGTAGATAGACTAGGGTGAACCCCTGCTCCCCACCCCACTCCATCTCCCACCCCCATAGTTCTTACCTCTTGGTGTTAAAGCTTTGTGTAATCCATCTTTTCCCTCCCCCTTCCCCTCTCCTTTAGAAGCATTTTTTTTTTACTGGCAAGATGAATTTTCTGACATTTCATGAATTCACAAAAAATCTCTTTGGTTTCTTTTATTGTTTTTGATCAGTTCCTGCCACAATCTTTGAACCAGTTGTTCCTAGAACCGAGGCTCCTGGAACAACACTAGGTAATGACACATTATGTTCACCAGCATCTGCTTTTCTTGCTCATTTCAACCCATTTCATCACCCTCACAACCATGGATCTTCCGGCTTCACAGGACTTCTGTGTCATCCTCCATTGTCATTCAATTACTTCTTAATATACTGAAGAGTATTAAAACAACTCATTTGTTTGTAAGAAGGCCAAGTATAACAAGCATAATCCTATTCTCAGCTTCTGGAACGAAAACACTCTATTAACCAGAGATTTTCTTCCTTTAGCTCCCAAAGTGCCTGAACAAACTCACCATCCACGTCCCAAACCTAAAACCACACCAAGTCCTGCAGCTCCTCAGACTGAACTAGGTAAATGCATAGATCCTGGATAAGGAGTCCTGGAAGCCCATCCCTGTGGGGTCCAGAGAAAGGGAAGGGCCAAGGCAGGGTCAGCCGCTGCTTCCACTCCACAGTAGGCTTGAGGACACGGTTGGAGAGGTCTTAGGTGGTAGCCAATTTCCCTGTACATTGTGAATCTGAATCTTCTATTTGACTTCTTATTTGATTCTACTCATCCTTTAAATATTGAAATTGTGTCATGGATTGAAACAACTACAAAACAACATATGAAATTATTTTTTGGTAACGATAAAGGTTGTGTAAATCATAGTAAGGATCACCCGGCCAGTGTGGGTCAGTGGATGAGCATCAACCAGGAAACTAAGAGGTCACTGGTTTGATTCCCAGTTGGAGCACATCCCTGGGTTGGGGGCTCGATCCCCAGGGGTGTGCAGGAGGCATCTAATAGATGACGTTTCTCTCTCATGTATGTTTCTATCTCTCTATCCCTCACCCTCCCTCTCTCTTTAAAATAAAAACAAAATCAATAAAAACAAAACTTTTAAAAAGTCATAGTAAGGATCTAGGGCCAGAGTTAGCAAACATTTTTTTTCAAAGAACTAGATAGTAAATTCTTGGGGGCTTTGGGGGTTATATAGTCTTTGTTGCCTATTTTTCTTTTTTCCCTTTTTTCTTACAACTTAAAATAGGGAAGAAAAATAATTTTTTGCTCTCATGGGCTGTTTGAAAACAAGCCATGGACAAGATTTGGTGTAGGAGGCATAGTTTTGGGGGGAAGGGGATGAAGAAGTACAGAAAGGAAGGACATGTATAGAAGCCAGTGAGAGGAGGCAAAGGCTTCTAAGTGTTGATTGGAGCATTTCATTGAGATTACAGCAGATAAATGAGCCCAATTGGGCCAGTTGAAAAGGGATTTTGAATGTTGGCTTTGGGAGTTTGGATTTCATAAGAATCATCAGTATCCATGTGTGGTCGAGCTTTCCCTAAGCACTGGACAGACGGATAGATACCCTGCTACCTCAGACTGAATGGGTGCCCCTTACACTGCTCTTTAAGTGTCCTGGTGGTCTCTTTCAAAGATGAGTTTTCAGCATGATAGGTATGGTCTACTTTGGTACATTACTTAGACTAAGATTATCAAAGTGAGTGAGAATCTTCAGGGGCACTTCATAGGGATAGTTATCTGAATACAAAGATGGTCTCAAAGTGGTACATTGGTACCTGAGTGCAAAGATGCCATACCCCTCTGCTCAGAGGGTTGGTAGTGTTTGCTTTGTACTCTAGATACATGATTACTTTGGTATAATTCTTTTTGAAGTGAATGTTCTGAGATGATATAAATGTTTACCATTTCATTGTTTTATTGTTATTCTTTTTGGTCAGCTCCTACTCTAGTCCTGGAACCATTTATTCCTATAAAAGAGGCTCCAGGGACAGCATTTGGTAATGCCACTTTTTGACCTTCAGCAAGTGCTTGCTTTGCTCATTGTCAAACCTGTTCCACTTTGTTTCCATTCAACTAAATTCTTCAACTTATGAGCTGAACAAGTTACCGCTTGTTCTTAAGAGAGCCATGCCTAAATCTAGTTTGGGATAGCTTCTTGTCCTGTACAGTTCTTTAACATTTTTTCATGCCACCTTATGTTTTCAGATTAACCAGAGTGCTTTGTTAAGGTAAATTACATAAATGCCTGGTCTTGGTCTATGCTAACAAGGAATAGGAAAGTTTCTTTATACATTCTTTGTACATATACCTTTTTATCTGCCTGGTTTTTTTTGTTGTTGTTGCTGTTGTTGTTTTGTTAACATTTGGGTAGTGTGTTTTTAGTGGATTGTCTAACAGATAATATGATCAAGGCTGATAAGTTTAAATGGCAAGCTCCATCCTTATGGTTAATCTGACTCTCCCTTACTCTCCACCATAGTTTAGAAATGATTCTTGACCTAGCTGGTTTTGCTCAGTGGATAGAGCATCGGCCTACAGACTGAAGAGTCCTGGGTTCTATTCTGGTCAAGGGCACATGCCTGGGTTGTGGGCTCAAGCCCCAGTAAGGGGCGTGCAGGAGGCAGCCAATCATTGATGTTTCTATCTCTCTCTCACCCTTCCTCTCTGAAACCAATAAAAAAATATATTTTTTAAAAAGAAATGATTCTTAAAATTTTAAATGTAGTCAGGGAACTCTAGGATAATGTGAAAAATACCAATCTGACTCCCTGAATTAATAACTTCATTTTTATGTTAATTTTGTGTACACACACACACCCATCTTCAATAACAAAAGAAGACACAGTAACATAGTAGGAGGATTTTTTTATGCTAGAAAGATCTATTTCCTGAAACTCAAGAAAATCTATCAAGGTTCAGAAAACTTCAAGATTTTTTTACAACCCTATAATTTGCAGAACCATAAACTTTAAGGTAACTGAACATTATATTTTTTCACATCCCAAAACATCCCAATGGACATGTCATTCACAACACAAACTTAAGACCACTCCATGTCCAGATTCACTTGAAACTATACCAGATAAAAGCAGAGTCCTTGGTTTAAAGTCACTGATAGAGAATGTAAACTCAGATACCATCTAGAGAGGGAATCATGAAGAGTCCTTCCTCCTTCAGGGTTGGCAAGGAGTTTATGTTTGGAAGAGACATAATCTTCTCTCAAAGTCTGAGTATTAGAGACATGTTTTACTTCTCAGTCTGCAGGCTAATTGAGCAGAAAACTTTTCCTGTATGAAAAGCCTAGAGAATGAGAGGAAGGCAGAGTGTTTGTACAAATTCAAGACTTTTCTTGGATACATAAAGTGTTAGATGCATCATATAAAATTTTTTATGCTAGAAAGATCCATTTCCTGAAACTCAAGAAAATCTATCAAGGTTCGGAAAACTTCAAGATTTTTTTTACAACTCTATAATTTGCAGAACCATAAACTTTAAAGTAACTGAACGTTATATTTTTTCACATCCCAAAACATCCCAATGGACATGTCATTCACAACACAAACTTAAGACCACTCCATGTCCAGATTCACTTGAAACTATACCAGATAAAAGCAGAGTCCTTGGTTTAAAGTCACTGATAGAGAATGTAAACTCAGATACCATCTAGAGAGGGAATCATGAAGAGTCCTTCCTCCTTCAGGGTTGGCAAGGAGTTTATGTTTGGAAGAGACATAATCTTCTCTCAAAGTCTGAGTATTAGAGACATGTTTTACTTCTCAGTCTGCAGGCTAATTGAGCAGAAAAACTTTTCCTGCATGAAAAGCCTAGAGAATGAGAAGAAGGCAGGGTGTTTGTACAAATTCAAGATTTTTCTTGGATACATAAAGTGTTAGATGCATCATATAAAGTCTTGAAGAAATGAAAATCCATTTGGGCTTCTGTAGAGTAGGAATAGTGTTTGGACCTTGATGTCACATCAGAATTTACACAAATGGGAAGGTGAGAGTGAACAAAGATGAAAAGAATAGGATATGTGTAGAGGCAAACAGAGGGGGAGGAGATCTCGCTTCTTCTATAGGTCAGAGTATTTTTGTTGGTGATTCTGCATTTGGATGACACCGTGAAAGTTGAAGGAGGCTGATATTGTTCACATGGGGATTAGAAATCTCTTCTTTCCACACTGAATTGAGTTGTCCCTCTATGAGAGTGAACGGGTGCTAAACAGTGACCAAAAGTAATCACTATCTCATGAGATAAAAATGTTGAGAACGATAGTTTGGCCAAATCAGGACAAAGAAAGTGATTTCTCTTTGTATTAGTTTGCTAAAGCACCATAGCAAAATACTACGGACTGGGCAGCTTAAACAACAGAAATCTACTTCCTACCACTCTGCAGCCTAGAATTCTAAGATCAAGGTGTCAGCAGGTTTGATTTCTCCTAAAGTCTCTCCCCTTGGCTTGCAGATGACCACCATCTTGCTATGTCTTTTCTCTCCCTTTGTCCTTGCACAAAAGTTCCTCATCTCTCTCCCTCTTCTTATAAGTACTTTAGTCCTATTGGGTTGTGGTCTCACCCATCAATGACCATTAATTTTTTCTTTAAAGGCCCCATCTCCAAATACAGTTACATTGGTAGTTAAGGCTTCATGTGAATCTTAAGAAGACATAATTCAGTCCATTACTACCTTTATTCAGAAATTTTTTAAAAATTATTCTAAAGGTGATAGGATACTGGCAAATTCATTTTGAAGTAATGTAGCTCTTGATACCTTCTTTATTTCTATTACTTCAGTTCCTATTACAGACCTCGGACCCGTTACTTTTACAACTGAGACCTCTGGGACAACATTAGGTAATGACTCTGCCATTCGCCTAGTGCTTTTGCTGTTCATCGTACAGTCAACTCATTCTCCATTCCCATAACAGCTTTTCCTTGTTCATGAGACAGCCTCCATCCTCCTCCATTGCCATTCAAGCACTTCCTTCATCTGAAGAATGCTGAAGCCTCTTAAAAACAAGTTCCCTGTTGTTTTTACGAGAGCAGGCATGACCTTAGTCCAAATCATGAACCTGTCATGTGGTGCATTTGAAACTGTCATGTTATCTTGTGCTTCTCTGAAACGTGTTCTGTGTTAAAGCTGAGTTTAAAACAAATGTGGATCTATTTCTTAACTAGGCTGATTTTCAATAACAGCTACTCCAATGTTCCCTTGGGCATCCAAGTTTCTAGATTTTTTTTAAAACTATTTGCATGTTATTTTTGTTTCTTTCTTGGTACTTTAAGTACTGATGTATTTTGTTACTAATTTGACAAATAAGGAATTGCCCAAATCTGAAATTTTAAATTGCATGCCTCTTCCTTAGTATGACCCTAACTTCCCCTCCTCTTGCATCATAGTTGAGCACTCCTTCTCAATCATTTTTTCCCAGTGAGAAAATGCTCTGAGTGTCTGATTGTAAGTGCTAATTTTCATGACTTGAATGAGTGATGAGGTGCCCCCAAAGTTCCCTCAATGACAATAGGAAGACACATTGTTATAAAATTAGTAAAAATTTTAAACTATAGACAATTTCCAGGAACTTTAGGAAATCTAACAAGTTTTGGAAAAACCTCCCCTTCATGTCAAAAGCCATCAGACCTAGAGTAACACAAGGCTTTTCTTTCTTCAGCTACCAAAGCATCAAAAAGACCCCATCGTCCACATCTCAGACCTAAAACTACACTGAGCCCTCAAGTACCTCAGACCAAACCTGGTAAATGTGTGACTCCTTGATTTAATGATGAGCTCTAGTAGCCTAATGAGGATGCAAAGCAGTGCCAAGCTCTTCCTTTCTCTAAGTGTGAGGTCATGAGGCAGAGTCAATAATGTCTCCTCTTCCCAGGTGTCAAGGAGAATATGACTATGTGAGATAACATGTGAAAATGTTCTTTGATATGCATTTAGTATACTTCTTACTATCAAATTTTATTCAAATCTTAAACTTCTTTAGCAAGCCAATATATTCAGTTCACGTAACTAAACAAATTGTAGGCCCCTTTCATATACCTGGACTAATATTGGCAATCGTGGGTGATTTGTCAGTTGTAGGAGACCTATTTTACTTCTAAAACAGTAAAGTTGAGTACATGTTTGCATGATACAAACACTAAATATTGATCTTACAAAAGAAAAGATCAAGGTGAATTGGACCTTGAACCCACTACAGGATTTGAATGAATGGAGGGAAACGTGAACCAAAAGAAGGACTGGACATATAGGTGGGGTAGGGATTGGGCCAGCCCTAAGGGTGATCCAGTCTGCCTGAAGCAGACCCTCCTACTTCAAAATAATCAAAACATGGCTGTTGCTGACCCTGCATTTGGAAGGGTCCATATTCTAGACAGAGTTGAAAGAGGATTTTGAGGACCTGAATCAGGAGCTTAGACTTTATACAGAGACATCAACTGTCTCAACTTTTATTTTTTTATTTTTCTGGGCTTAGGCCATCTGGCTGAGTATTACAGACTGAGTGACTATCTTTATTCTACTCTCTTATGTACCATGATTCGGACAGCGGACTCAGATTCTTTCCATAGATGAGTTCTTGGCAAGATCAACATAGTCCACTTCAATGATTAATTTTTATATCTGTTTCAAACTTACAAACTACTTATTTATCCATGTTGACTTAAACATTGTGAGTATTCATGTTCAGCTTCCATAGAAGTACAAGTTAATCATATTTTTTAATAGACAGTTTCTTTTCTGCGTGTATATTAGAAAATACATGGAGAGTTTCCTTTACCCAGGAGAATTTCATATCGACTTCTTTAAGATACTAAGCTAGTTCAAAGGCTAATCCTAAATCCGGCTGTGAATATAATTTGGCCAAATTTTCAAAGAACAAACATCTACTCTTTTTATCAGTTATTTTTTTCTTTGTTTCTATAAAAGTATTATATACAAGTAAGATTGTTTGGATGTGAATGTTCTAATTTTTCACATATTTTAAAATCTCTTTGGTTAACTGTGTTTTTTGGTCAGTTTCTGCTACAGTCCTGGAACCTGTCACTTTTAGACCAGAGGCCACAGGAACAACATTTGGTAATGATACCCTGTGTTTTCAATAAGACTTTTCCTGATTATTGTAAAATCCAGAGTTTCATCTTGCTTCATGTGATAATAGTGTCATCCTTCATGGTCATTCATTTACATTCTCTTCTTAAAATTATGAAAACTGTTTTTAATTGAATTTATTGGGGTGACATTGGTTAATAAAATTATATAGGGTTTGAGTATACAATTCTACACTACATCTTCTGTACATTGTAATGTGTGTTCACCACCCCAAATCAAGTCTCCTTCCATCACCATTTATCCCTCCTTTACCCTCTTTTACCTGCCCCCACCCATCTCCCTCCTTCTGGGAATCACCATACTGTTTGTCTGTGTCTTTCTAGAAGGATGAAGAGATTAAGCAAATTTATGAAAACTGTTGAAACAAATTACCTATTGTTTTTAATAGAACCAGTCATACATGACCACATTAGAACATTTATTTGCCATGTAACCTACTTGAAGTTGTGTCATGTCAGTCTGTTTTATTTAAGCAATGTTTGTAGTAAAAATGATTTTCAAACATATCATGGCTTCCTACCTCTTGTCTAGATAGAAAAAGCCATTAACAGCCATCATAGGGCCAAGAGGACCCAGTATTGTATGTCAACATTTCTAACTTTTTTTTTCTATTTGCATAGAATTTAGTTTTTTTGTTTCAATTTAGGGAATACTATGTCCTTATTTTAATAGTTACGTAAACATGTGCCCCAAATTGAAAGATTAAGTTATAAATCTCAGACTTAGTATGACCTTTATTATCCATTAAAATTTAAGGACAGTTCTTAACCTTTTTGTTGCCCAATCAAGCTGTCTTATGAGACTTTGATTATAATTACTAATCGTTACTTATTTAATTTAAAAGTATTTTTGTTTTCAAATAATCTTATATGATGAAAGAAGATATCAGAGGAGTATATATGACAAAAATCTCAAAGTAAAAAGGCAATTATCTAACAAGTTGTGGAAAATCTAGAGCCATGTTTTGACCTCTAATAGCATCCAGAACCATAGATAATGTAGTTATGTAGTAACCCAAGAATTTCTTCCTTCAGTTTCCAAACCATCACAGCGGAAGGGTCGTCCATGTCCCAGACCAAAAACCACACCAGGTCCTGAAACACCTGAGTCCAAACCAGGTAAACACGTATTCCTGGTTTAGAGTCCCAGCAGCCTAATCCAGCAGGATCTCAGGGGTAATATTTGGAGCAGGGAAAGGTAGATTAAGAGAGAGTGGAGCCTTGAAATCACCATAATACGTGAATGAGTAGGAAGATGGGGAGGAATAAAATCAGAAAGAGTGGGTAAAAATAGAGACTAACCAAAAGAAAAAGTCTAACCACAATACTAGTATAGAGGATGCCTGACTTCAGGGTGGTAGTCAAAGATTTTCTGGATCTAGATCGGTCCATAGACTTTCATGGTGGTGTTCCTTAGGCACCTGATGGAGCCGTTGAGATTTGACTCAGTAGACAGAAAACTCTTCTTTGCACATGAAGGCATGCTCTTTCTTTGCTTAGAATAGAGGGATGCACTATTGGATTCGTCATGAGGAGGCCTCAGTGTCTTTCCAAAGATAAGTTCTTAGCAATACCCACACATCCCACTTTGGCTTATTAGTTAGATAATCAAAGAAGGGGGAATAAGAAAATAAGTACCTGACTTGATATAACCAAATTTAACAAAAATATTTAACAGTTTTTAGAAGATGCTATATAGTTCTAGAAACTATATTATACTAGTAAGATTCATTTTGAATCAAATGTTGCATTTTCTTTCATTTAAGACAATCATTTGGTTTACTTTTAATACTTTTGGTCAGTTTCTACTGCAGACTTTGAACCAGTAACGTTCAGAACTGAGGCTTGGGTGACAACACAAGGTAATAACACATTGTGATCCTCCCTCAATGCTTTTCCTTCCCATTGTCAGGCTCATTTCAACAACGTGGTAGCTACAGGTTCTTTTGTTTCTTAAAGCTGCATTGTCATTCTTTCTTGTCACTCTTTTATATTCTTCATCATAAAAGTATTGAAGATTTTGATTCTTAAAACAAATTATACCTTGTTTCTCAGAGAGCCATGCATGAACCTAACTCAAGTCATCTGTTATGCATATAACTATCTGAAATTGTTTTATCATTTTGTGTGTTTTTTTCACCAATGTTTTGTTAAAGCTGGTTTAAAAGCAATTATTTTGAATCTAACAACTATATGGTGTCCAGGAGTTTCTTTGTGGATCTAAAGATCTACTTTTTTAAAAAAAACTATTTGATATTTGTTCTTTGATAGACATTTTAGTTGATTACTGGTCTTATTTAGTAAAATGTCAAAGTTTGTATTTGGGTATCACCACCACAATAATATTTTAGCAGTGATTCTTACCTTTTTATTCAGCAGAAAAGTCATAAAAATGATTCTTCACTTCTTGAGTTAATAACTTAATTTTATATATGACTTATTTCCAATGAATTTCCAATTTTAAAAGAATAAATACTATTATTATAATAAGGGTGAAAATTTTAAATTAAAAAGTTAAAAAGACACGTTTCCTAAAGTATAAGAAAATCTAATAAGTTTTAGGAAATTGAGAGCCATGCATCATGCTATCCATAACTTCTGAACTACAGACTCCATAGTAACTGAAGGTTTTCTTTCTTCAGCTCCTAAGCCATCAAAACGGACCCGTCGTCCACGTCCTAAACCTAAAACCACACCAACTACTGAGGCACCTCAAACCAAATTGGGTAAATGTGGGTTTCTGGTTAAGGGACTGAGTCCTAGCAGCTTTATGGAGCCTAGGGTTGATGTCCATGGGTGGGAGTGATAGCCCATGTGAGCCTTCTGTGGGTGAAGGCACAAGATGATCTGCTGCTGCTCCCACTGTTGAGTTAGCAAAGGAAATCATGGTTGGGGGAGACCTGTGTGGCAGCTGAATTCCTCGTTCTTCCTGCATAAATATCTTCTCTTTTAATAGATACTTTATTTACTTTTCCTTATTACATTATATTCTTTTATTAAAGACAAAATATTTTAAATAGAACCAAGCATTTTTAATTGAAGAACCAAACATTAAGTGCCTTTCATCCCTCTAGAGTCACATCAACAGCTGTGAGGATATCACAAAAGTAGGCAGCTTGTTTTTATTTCTTGTCCGTGGTATAGTCAAAGTCAAAACCTACCCCAATATCAAACATTCAGAGATTGAACCAAGGCAGCGTGTCTGTGCAAATCTAGCTTGATCTTTCTGCAGAGGCTCTGAACATCTGCAGAGAAAGAGAGAAGTCTGTGAAAGACAGGAGTAAGGAGTTAGAAACAAGTTGGGTCTTAAAATCATGAAAATGAACAGGCAGAATAAAGGGAATACAGAGGCCAACCAGAGGCATGGGCTTCTGGAAAAAGGGGCCCCTGCTTCTAAATGGTGATGATAGTGCTGTGTTTGGAAGGGTCCACAAGAGTAGTAAAAGAAAAATCCTTGAAGTTATGACTCAGAAGTTTGGATCCCACCCTACAAGTATCATAGGATACCACATTTTTGTGATCAGAGATGTGCTCTATTGGGCACCACACACTGAGTGAATGTGCCTTATCCTGATTTGTTGGGTGCCTAAACTAAGTTTGAGCCTATTTCCAAATTTGAGTTTTCAATGAGATGAACATGGTTCACTTTGCTTTATTCTTTATTCTTCTTTCAAACATAAACGCTATTTATTATATGATTCTTAAAACATGCTATTTTCTTAAAGCTTCCACAGATATACCAACAAGTGCCAGAATAGTTACCTAAATATATCTATATATATAAAAACCTAAGCAACCATTCAACCATTTGACCATTCAACCATCAGGGGGCAGACACTCAACTCACTGACCACCAGGGGGCAGATGCTCAACACACAGGCATGGAAACATGGAATAGACTGATAAATCTCAGAGGAAAGGGGAGAGGGGGAGGGCGGGAAGAGATTAACCAAAGATCTTATATGCATACTAGAGGCCCGATGCACAGATTCGTGCACCGGTGGGGTCCCTCAGCCTGGCCTGCCCAGATCAGGCCAAAATCAGCATCCGAGGGGTCCTAGATTGTGAGAGGGCACAGGCCCGGCCAAGGGACCCCACCAGTGCACGAATCCGTGCACCAGGCCTCCAGTATTTAATAAAATGTTTAAACAAGTTTCTAAGAGCAATAGTTAGAATTAGGTACTTACAAGTATCATGTTGACTTTATTGAGATACTTACTAGATTTGTGTTAGGCTATGACTGACTATCTCATAAAAGAACATTTACCTGGCTATAGGATGGCTGAGCCTTTAAATAACAAGTATTTAATTTTAGAAAAACATTTAAAACTGCTGTACACCTCTTAAAGCAGTATTATATGTGTAAGATTTAATTTGCTGACTTTCACAAGTGTTTATTTCATTGCTTTTTGATTAGTTCCTATTACAGATCTTGAGCCTGGTACTCCTAGAACTGAAGCTCCAGAAATCGTAGGTAATGAGAATGTGTGTCCTTCAAATAGTGCTTTTCCTACTCATTGTCATACCATTGTAGTAACAGGTTCTCCTTCATCTTAAAACCATCTCAACATCTGCTGTTAATCCATTAGTCTTCATCTTGAAATTATGCTAAGCTCTATGTCAAGCTATCTGTTGGATTTACGAGAACTGTGCATAAACTAATTTCAGGACATCAAACTGCCATGTAACTTCTCAACATTGTGTCACATGATCATGTGCATTTCTCTTTCAAGCTTCATTTCAAGCATGAATTTTCATCCATTCCTTACTTACACTGCTTATGTCACATCAATTCTGGAAATACCACATTTCTTTGCTCATATTATTTTTTATTATATTTTATTGTATTAGTGTCTCTGTGATTATACTGGTGGATATATTATTTCAATGAATAATATTTTTAGTTAATTGTTAAGATTTTAAATGTGCTAAGTCTTGAAAGTTTAAATGACAAGCTTATATGACAGAGTAGACTGACTCTCCTGACAGGGTTTAAAAATGTTTCTTAACTTATTGAATCAAGCACCACTTTAAAATTTTGATGAGCACAGTCCATTTAGTATGCATTGATCCTTATGTTTTCAAACATATGAACTCATAATTGTACTGTGGTTATTTAAGTACTAGACAAAAATAATAGGCACTTATGTCAACTTGTACAAAGGGCAAGTAGACTGATAAAGGCTTTTCCCAGTAGAGTTAGCAAAGTATATATTATACAAATGTGCAAAAAATTTTGTCCAGGAGAGTTTTCCATATTAGCGAGAGTCGTATAATCAAACATCTTGTTAACCATAGTATTTAGTGGAGTACAATGCTATATCTAAGGAGATTAATGGGTACTTGGCCATTTGGTCAAACCTGCAAAGAACAAGTGTCTCTTTTCTCTCAGTTCTGAAGTTTAAAAATTGACCTCTGAAATTAGTCATCAAAAGAATTTTTAAAATTTCTTTGGCTTATTCTATTATTTTTGGCCAGTTCTTCCCACAGTCCTTCAACCTGTTACTCTTACATTACGTAATGATATTCTGTGTTTCTTATCAACTTTTCTGCCCATTGTCAACCTATTCAATCATCATCATAATCAAATTGTCATCAGCTTCAAAGGACTGTCTTGTCATCCTCTGCTGTCTTTCTACTTTATTTTTCTTCTTAAAAGTATTGCAGATTTGCCCTAGCTGGGTTTGCTCAGTGGATAGAGTGTTGGCCTGTGGACCAAAGAGTCCAAGGTTTGATTCCAGTCAAGAGCATGTACCTCAGTTGCAGGCTTCTCCCTGGCCCAGGCCATCAGGGCTCATGCTGGAAGCAACCGATTGATGTGTTTCATATCTACGCTTCTCTCTGTCTTTCCCTCTCTCTTCCACTCTCCCTAAAAGTCAATGGAAAGATATCCTCGGGCAAGGATTAACAAAAAAAAAGTATTGCAGACTCTTAAAAGAAGTTACCTATTTTTAAAAGCTATTCATGGACCTAGATTAGAATGTTTGTGTTATTTGAATTTTTTTCATGTACTTTTGTCTAAACAGTGCTCACATATAAAGCTAAGTTTCAAATGCAGTGGGTAATGTCTGTATCTTCTCTAGACTAAACTAAACATAACAATTGGTATAGTGCCATGGATTCCTTGGCATATTTAAATTTCTTGGTGTGAATTTAAGACCACACAACCTACAGTTTGGCTATAGTCCTTACCTTTTTTCGAAGTTAAGACTCTTCACTCCTTGATTTAATTTTATGTATTTTATCTCTCAAGATTCTTTAGTAATTAAAAGAAATGAACAAAATAGGAGAAAATATTTTAATCTTAAAAGTTATATAACTTAAATTTCAAGGAAATATAACGTATTTTAGAAAATCAAGAGCCTTATTTCCAAAACCACCTTCACTAGAGTAATCCAAAATTTCTTCCTTCAGTTCCTAAAACACCACAATGATCTCAAACAGATTTTCCAAAGCAAGCTTTCATATTAATTAAGAGTCAGAAAATCAAACACCTTGGAAAACCTCATGTTGACCATAATAAGATGTTTAACTGAGTTCAAGAGTTGTGACTACTTTCTGCAATGAATTATTCCTAGCTACAGTTTGACCAAAACTTCAAAAAGAAACTATTTACTTCTTGTCCATTCAAAGGTTTAAAAAAATTGTTTGTCATTTGAAACTAATGTTTTGAAGGAAAAATTAAGACTTTCTATGTGTGTTTAAACTTTCTCATTTTCATGTTGTTGCTTTTGGTTAGTTCCCACTACAGGCTTTGAACATGTTATTCATAGTTCTGAGGCTCCAGGAACATTAGGTAACAATTTTTATGACCTCATTAAACATATTCTTGCTCATTAAAACCCATTCCATCACTGTCACAGCCAGAGTTGCTTTTGCTTTCTTAGACTACTATTGATTGTCATTCCATTTCATACTTCATCATATAAGTAGTCAGGATTCTTTATTCCAGTGTTACCTATTGTTTTTAACAAATGTCCTTGGATCCAGTTGAGGAAATCTATCTGGTATGAAACCCCCTTTAAAATTTTATTATATGATTCAGTGAAGAGTCTGAAGATCAAATTGCTCTCCTTCTATTTGGTATTGAAATCTATAAAACAATGTCATCTAAGTAATATGAACTTTCTCTGAGCAACTTTACTTTCTAAAAGATCTGTTTGATATTCTCATTACTCTTTTCCTATTTTAAGGAATGAGGATTCCTTATTGTATTAAATTATCAAAAAATGTTCCCTCCTGGAAGTGCCAATTCTAATAAATATAAGTTACAGGCTCTGCAACCTTTGATGAATTTGGCTATTCCTTATTTTCCACCACAGTATAGCAATTGTTCTTAATCTAAGTAGAAATTTCTCTGAGTATCTAATTATGCATATTAATATTTATTCCTTTAATCAATAAATTTTATGTATTAAACTGGACTCTAAAGGACCTTCAGTGATGATAAGGAACAAATTATGTTAGTATAATAAATTTTTTCACACTTTGGAAATAAACTCAAGAAACTATCTAATATGTTTTAGAAAACATAGGTCCTATGTATAATGTTGGTGGTTGTTTCTAGACCTTCAAACACTATAGTAACCAAGATCTTCTTTCTTTAATTTTAAAACAATGGGAGGGGGGAAAATCCTCCTCTCAAACTTGCATCTTCCTGAAGCTTCTCCATTGAAAACAAGAAAATCTATGGTTTCTGGTTTAAGAGTCCTTCCAGCCCATTGCAGTCGGGCCCCAGGAGTGACAAATAGGTGTCTTGCTAACTTGCACTTCTCACCACTATGCCTTCTAAATACAAAGGTGAAAATAATGGTTAGCATGTCTACGACTGCAGGGTTGACCAGAAGGCTCATGGTTGGGAGACCTATGTGGTAGCCAAATTCGTCATGTGCCCTGCATAAGGATTGTCTCTGACAAAGGATGTATCTTATTCAATTTTCTTACTATTCCATTTCATTCATCTCTTTTTAAAAAAGTGCTGCTTCTTTGGTTTATGTAAACAAATATTTCCTTGGCCTATGTGCTCTCAGCACCATATTAGCAGTTGAGTGGGGTGGGGTGGAGAGCTGAACAGAGATGGAGATCAAAATAAGAGTGTGTTTTACCTTTTGAACAGATGATAATATAATTATGGAAAAAACCTGTTCTCGAGTTTTTTTTAGATATTAAGAGAATTTGCTTATACAAAAGCAGCTTGTTTAATTGAGTGGTAAAAATATGCAGAGGAAATATTTAAAGGAGTCAAGGATCTATGTTAAAAAATAGTTGGACTTTGAAATAACTTTAGGATTTGAATTAGTAGATGGAAGGGAGGGAACAGCAAAAATAAAACAAAAAGTCTCACCCCCTACTGAGGGTACCCAAAGGACAGTCAAACTGAAACAGAACAAAACACTGTTAGGTGATACTGAGCATTATGTTAGGGCAGTCAAACTGAAACATAGAACAAAACACTGTTAGGTGATACTGAGCATTATGTTAATGATACTATTATGAAATCAGCTGTAGGAAGCTCTTAAAAGCCCCTGTGGGAATTCAGATTCAGATGTAATAATTAACAATAACCTGATTTTTTTCAAATAGGCTCTTGCTTTTTCTAGAAGGATGCTTTAGATCAGGGGTCAGCAAAAATTCTTATGTGAAGAATTAGTGAATATTTTAGACTTTGCAGGCCATTCAGTCTCTGTCACAACTACTCAATTCTGCAATTTAGCCTGAAGGCAACCAAAGCCAATATGTAAATGATATGTAAATACGCCTTGAATTATCTTAGTTTGTGGATGTGTCTTGGTTCCCATAAAACTTCATTTGAATTTCATACCTCTTTTACATGTTATGAAATATTACTGTTCTTTTAAATATTTTCCATCCTTTAACAATGTACAAAACATTCTTAGCTCACAGGCCAAGCAGAGGAGGGCCATAGTTTGCCAGTTTCTGCTTTAAATAATGAATAGTCTGCATGAGCTCTCTATCATCCTACTATTTTGAGGGTCTATGCATTTCAGTTCATTGCTACCCTTGTCTAAAACCTATGAAATAAATTATACATAATTGATAACTTAGATCCTCTTCTTTCAGCTCCTACTGATCTTCAAACTCTTATTTTGAGACCAGTGACATCACCAAGTCTAGAAATGACACAAAGTCAACCTGGTAAATAGATTGTTTTATTTATCTGGATATACTGTGAGCTTCAAGGGATAAACTTCAAGGGTTGTATTTCCAAATATGAAAAAAAAACACAGAAGAATGCACATTTAACAACTCTCTCTACATATTGTATGATGCTCTTTCCATGATTGTATATTGGTGTTAACTTGGTAATGCATTAAGTTTATGTTATGTTACTCAACAGTGTAGAAAAACTTACCTTTATTTCACTGTTTGCTCTGTTTCATTTTAGATAATAATCATGTATCTGATTAAGTAATCCACAAAACCACTTAAAAGAACTGATTTTATTCTTTATCCTTAGTTTTCACTAACAGCTATGAATTTGTGGTACGGTTTAGCAGTAAGCTTGATTCTGTTCTGCCACGTGAAAATAATGCTAGTTCAATTGTGACCATCAAGGAAGGAGAAAGTTCTCCCTTCAGAAAAGATAAAAAAAACTTTACTTATACAATATAAACCTGAACTTATTGCCTTCAAAATTGAAAACTAAATTTTTAAAACATCTTTAGCAATGTTGTTGTTACACCCTAACATTTATCTTGAAATATTGGATCTTATTTTTTATAGCATAGGATAGTAAACTTATTCATCTCCTTTGTGCATCTTTTAATTAGCTAATGGCATTTGAGTACTCATGTTGGCAGTACAAGGTATGGTTGTTATTGGTAACCTTCAACATTTATACAATTGTGAGTTCAATTCAGTTATCAGAGCTTCTTTTGGTTTTAGTAATAACGTATTATATCAGCTAGCATGGAGCAGTTATAGGTACAAGGCACTTTTCTAAATAGTTTGTATTCATCCATTCAATGTTCACAACAACCCATAGTGATCAATTGTATCATCCTGTGTTGTTTTTTACTAGTTTCTGAAGGCCTGGAATTTGTTACATTTAGCACTGAGTCATCAGAGGGAGCTAGAGGTAAAAATGTTTCCTAATTGGAAGTCAGGTATATGTGCTTTCTCCATCTCATTGTGGAAGTCCTCTTTGAATGCCCTCATGCTTTGTGACATTTCATAGCTCTTCACACCTTGTCTGTGCTCATCTAGTGAGTCTTGAAAGTCAAACATTATATAGAGAACATTGTGCTAATGTCTGCTCTACTGCTATGCACGTTTCACAATTTCCTTATTTAGTTCTCTCAGTCAGAATGCAAATTTTGCATTTTTATGTCCTGATCACTCTTTCAATATAAATATGCACAATACACTATTTTTCGTTTTAATATCGTTTGTAGTATTCATCATCATGCTTCCCAAGGACTCATTCTATGTCTTTTTTTCACTAGAATTCTTTTAAAAAATGTAAGGAAGTGAAACAAGCTGCTTTGCTCCAGGTAGAAACTGCTGTAGTGTGTGTGTGTGTGTGTGTGTGTGTGTGTGTGTGTGGTGTGTGTGTGGTGTGTGTGTGGTGTGTGTGTGGTGTGTGTGTGTTTTCCCACATTGCCTTTATTTCCTGCTTTCATTCTGCCATCTTAAATTGTAGTCATCTTCATAAATCACCTAAATGTTATTCTCACAGATGTATCTAGTAATCTGTGTTTTCACATTAAGCAATATTCCATTACAGAGTGCTATGGCTGCCCACCACTAACCAGACATTCCCTGTTTCCTCCCTAGCATCAGCCGAGACAGATTATGTAGATCCCACTTCCAAAGCACCACTCAGGCCAGAGGAGCCAAAGACTGAAGGTGGTAAAGGTTTTCATGCTTTGATTCATTTAATTAAACAATATTTAGTTCACGTATATTATGTCCATGGAACATGGAACTTCAAGCTGCTGTACTTGTTCTTCAATTGAATAGATTTGAAGAGTTATAGCTTCCAACTTCTTGGATTCTTAACATGATAATAGGCTCTCTGAATACAGAAATAGATTTCAGTTTCTCTGCAGTATCTAAATATTGAGGCATAATAACAATTGACAACAAGTTAATAACAGTTAAAACATAAATATTAGTTGGAGGGTTAGTTTTATAGAATAGAATTTCCACTCTTGGTTCTGTTTTTTCTTGTCTAAATTCATTGTCCTATCTGTAAAAATACGATGCAAAATCTTAAGAGAATGAGATGTATTGATATTAAAGAAAAATACTTGACTATAGCTGGACGTCTGACAATTTTTAAAATTGTTCTCCTTTTTTTGATACAGTTGTGGAATCTATTACAAATGTGTCTGAACCACCCGAGACCGCGTTAGGTAATGACATACCTAAGCAGCTTTTGTCCTCATTGCCACCATCATCTGAGAACCTCAGGTTCTCTCTCATTGTGAATTCATGTTGCAACATCATTTCTAGATTCTTCTATTTATAACCATTGTCCAAGAAGTCTCTTTGTTCATTCAGTTTTGTATCGAGACCTGGTCTCTGTCTCTACTTTAAGTCAGCGAAACTATCAAATCTAAAGCATCTTTTCCCTAACATTGCATATTCTGCCAGCTTGATGTTGTGTTGAATATTTCAGATAATGTATTTTGTATAACGATCCATTCATACTTTCTACCCTGGCAACACATTTTCTGTTAACACTCATTCCATCATGTTCATTTGCATGTTTGATGTTTTCTCCGTTATTTAAGTGAAAGTCAATGCTTCTTGAATTGGCTTAGCTTTATTTATCACTTTTTTAATTACTTTGTCTTTCCCTTTATGGTTACTATGGAATATATCTTTCTAGCATTGTTGAGGAGGTACTAGGGTGAAGGGAAAATTTTAAAAATAAGGACATTACTTACTTTGAACGTATTTTTATAACCTGTCATCTCCAAGCATTTTTTAAAAAAAACTAAGGCATTATGCAGAAAGAGGAATGCTATTTTTGCTGCAGAGTTGCAGTTTCTTTTAAAAAAAAAAGTCTACTTGTTACCATCATTTCTGTCATCTGTACTCAAGGTGTGCGAAGCACCATGGTAACCTCGGTTATTCTCCTTTAATGAGCATAGAAGCATCAACTCTGCCTTCCCAAACTGTAATCCTACTCAGACTGGACCGGGTAAATACATTATTTTGTACTTTATGTAGAAGGTGAGTGTTTGCAGAATGTAAGAATGGAAAGGTAACAAGGGCACTGCTTGACGTTGGAAGCCCCGCCTTCATCACTCAGCTCACAGTTGTCACTGCCCCTCTTCTCATCTATCCATCACTTGTAGCCGTCACGTGTTGTGAATAGTCTTTACGGTGTGGCTGAAAAACACCTTTCAGCTGCTGTGCAAGTGTTTAACATGGGAAATAGTAATGTTTCTGGGGAAGACCACTTATATTCCATTTAAATATAAATAGATATCCTAATTTTAAGTACTTAATCATCTTGACTAGTTTTACAAGTTCTGTGGTCATGTATTAACAGAAACAAGTTTCACCACACAATCCAGATAAAAGGTATTACTGGCCTGTCACCTTGTCATTATCCGGTCCTTTACTTCTTTCCACTCCTTCCTGCAGTGGTTTGACCATTTCACTGCATGCAAATAAGAGAAGCTGAAATCAAACCAGTGACTTTGAAAAATCATAAAAGGTTTACTTGATGGTGGAGTTGGAAATTAAGAAAAACAAGTCATTAACATCAATAACTAAATATGCTTCTGATTATAAGGAAAAGTCCTCTCAATATTTATAGACTCTCTTGGAATAGGAGTTGATTACAAATAAGTCCAAACTTGTGTTTTGATTGCCATCTGACTTTTTATATGGCTCTATTTCCAAAGATAGAGCTATTTATTTTACTCATTGTTCACAGAAACATCCTATTAAATATTGAATCTGTGTCAGTTATCTCAAGCTTTTTGAAGTTTATTGTTTTTAATCGCTGTAATAATTAAATTATTGAAATGTTTAAATGTGAATACTATTAGTGATTCTTATCTCTTTCTGAATCATTTTTGTGGCATTGCCTCATGATATGCCTTTACCTGCAAACTATTTTTCCTATTCCCTGGAGGAAGCAAATAGCCTGTCAGGAACCTCAGCAAGCAAGGAAGTTGGGAGTTGGGAAATCATAAAGCTGAAAAAAACTCTAGAATCAGAGAATCTTAGAATTGGAAGGGCTCTTTAAAAATTCTGTACCTTTGCATGCATATTAGCATAACCAATGAACACAGACACTGGGGTGGTGGGGGCTTGCCCAGGGTGGGAATGGCTTGGTGGGGGAGTGGGGGTCAGTTGGGGAAAAAGGAGACATACGTAAAACTTTAGTCAGCGGTTCTCAACCTGTGGGTCGCGACCCCTTTGGAGGTCAAACGACCCTTTCACAGGGGTCTCCTAAGACCATCCTGCATATCAGATATTTACATTATGATTCATAACAGTAGCAACATTACAGTTATGAAGTAGCAACAAAAATAATGTTATGGTTGGGTCACAACATGAGGAACTGTATTTAAAGGGCCAGAAGGTTGAGAACCACTGCTTCAGATGAATAAATAAATAAATAAATAAATAAATATTCTGTACCTTTTGATGGAGATCCTGCGGCTGTCACCCAGTGATTAGCAAAGGGAGCTCTAACGCTCCAGGTTGCAGGCTCCTAAACCAGTGTAACCTCCAACATATCCTGGTGTTTATCTCTCTGCAGGCAAGAAGATTCCACTAAGACCATTGCATGCCTTGCATATTTTGACTTAGTTTCCTGAGGAAGTCTCTGAAGACTCTAGAAACTTCTAGTATCTAATAGTTCTTATTTTCAGCAATCTTTTTGTAAGGTACCTGGAACTCCCTGACCTTGGAAAACATTTTGTTTATTCTTACCCTCTTACACCAGATACACTTTAGTCCAACTAAATGAGATGTTTCCACAAACTGCAACCTTGCATTTGATAATTCCTTTTCCCCAGCAGCATAGACTGTTCATCTCCTTGGTGAAGAAATAATTGGTTTTTATACCGAGTGTCCTAGAACGCCTTTGGGAATTGCCCAGCGAAGGAATGACTTTCTTCAGTAATCTTTTGTTTTCATTTCTGTTCAATTTCTCTTCCTCAATATGACCAATAAAAATTATTTTCTTTAATAAGATTAATTTTTCCATCAGCACTTGCTACTAAAATACATTCATTTTTTTCTAGGTATATTTGGAATGTGACATGCTAACTTTTTTTTTTAAGAAATTGTATCTATTTGCACTCAAAATATGTATTATACTGGGATAATCTGATAAAATGGTGTAAACGTGTAAGGATGAATACTTGTTATTATGAAATTTATTTTAACCTGTTTAAAAGGTACTTAAAGTAGATGTTTCTAGAATTCTAACAGCTTCATTTGCCAGCTGAATATCTTGAATATCGTTTAATGTTCCCTCTTGTTTTGTTTTCTGTTGTAACAAGAAATTATCTTCCTATACTTCACAGCTGTTTGGAAGATTTAACTGCATGAATTGCTGTGTATGTAGCTCATCAGTCACTCGACAAACATCTCTGAGAGCCTAGAGCAGTGGTCGGCAAACTGCGGCTCACGAGCCACATGCGGCTCTTTGGCCCCTTGAGTGTGGCTCTTCCACAAAATACCACGTGCGGGCGCGCATGTACAGTGCGATTGAAACTTTGTGGCCCATGCGCAGAAGTTGGTATTTTGTGGAAGAGCCACACTCAAGGGGCCAAAGAGCCGCATGTGGCTCGCGAGCCTCAGTTCGCTGACCACTGGTAGAGGCTGTTAAATAACTGTGATTCTTGCAAGAGCTCAAGAGCTCCAAGCCTTATGTCCTTTCTTTTAGCTCCCAAGCAGACAGCGCGCACTCCTCCCAAAGCAAAAACATCTCCACGTCCAAGAGTCCCTCAGACACAGCCAGGTAAATACATATTTTACATTCTAACCTGAAAAGTTTGATGTTAGTGAAGTTGTTCTGCTGAATTATTGTGAGTTGGGTTTTTTAACCCTTGTAAAACAGGTCTTCCATTGAAACCTGATAAATATTTACATTTACTTTTATACTGAAAAGTGTATTTTTGGAATAAGTTATTCCAGAAAGTTCCCTAATATTGTATTATTTTGAGTGGGGATGGAGAGGAATGGAATTTCTTAAGAGTGACCTGTCTACTCTCTCTGCCTTTTCCAGCTTGAGAATCCCTAATGCTTCCATGGTCCTTGAATGGGCCTCCTCTTGCCAATCACCTAGTTTTGTTTTTTTTAAGTTTTCAGTAGATTTTATTTAGCATTAATGTCATGAAGAATAAACATATATGTCCTCTCCAATAACATAACAATTATATTATATTGCTTTGGTTGTTTTGCTGTAAAATTTTGATAAGGACCCAAATAAGATTCATTATAAACTATTTTTTTATTCTGTTCAAGAAGCTCTCATTTGAATGTTTAACTCTTAACCAACTCTTCTCTAATTTCTCCAACTACCTCAGCCAATCTCCATGTTGGAATACCATAAACTCGACATGCCTCAAAGAAAGCTTATTGTTTTTCCACCTTTCCGTTACACCTGTGACAGGTTCTCACCACTTTATATCTGATTCTTACCTCTCTTTCTCACCCAGCCTCTGTAGCTCATCTGTTACTAAGTATGGGACATTCTAGCATTGGTGCCTTCTCCACGCATCTACCCAGTCATGCCTAGTCTATTGTCATTGATCAACTGATCTCCTGTGTCTCTTCTCTTCTAATTTCAAATATGTCACCCCTTCATGCTGAAATGGTTGTTTAATTCATTTAATCATTCAACAAATATTTATTGCATTCTGACCATGTGCCAGGCAATGCACTAAACACTAGGAATGTGAAACAAAATTGAATCCTTCCATGGTCAAGGGAGTTACAGTCTAGGCCAGTCACCTAAATTTAAATTTATCACTTATACATGGTCTGCTTCCAAAAATGGGAAAGGAAAACGTTAGCAGGTAGCAGTTCTGAATTCCCACCACAAATCCTTTAATCATAGCTCAGTATCCCTATTGAAAGAAAAAGCTATATATTTTGGCATGGTCTTTAAGGTCTGATTCTGAGAGAAAGTTTACCTGTTATTTTTTTCTTTAAAAGGAAATTCCTTAAAAGTAGATTCTATGTTCACATCTAGCTCATTTAAATCTGCTTTAATGTACTTCAAAATGTGTATTACTTAATTACTAAAATTTTGATATGAAAATAATATGGGTATGATATATAAGTATATGAGGGTAACAAGACAACAATCTCTTAATAGAATGAGAAATTTAAAATAATGACAATAAATACATGTGTAACATTAATATATAAGAAATACTGGGGGGAAGAATTAATGATTAATGAATAGAATAGGAATAAAAAACAAAGCAAGTAGATTAAATTTATGCATAGGAAACCGAAATCTAATTTTAAAAATAAATCAATTCAAATCACATGAGGATTCTCTCAATTTTTTATTTGAATATAAAGCATAGAACAAAAGTAACAGAAAAAGGAGAAATGGAAATAAATAAGAAAGCATGAAAGTTTAATGAATGTTGAAAAATAAGAGTAGAGATGAAAAATAAGTGCTTGGAGTTAAGACAGTGGGAATATAAATTCCTGGTTAGTAAAATTTAAAAAAAAATAAAAGAGATATGAAGTAACAAGGAAGACATTCATAATTTTCTTTTTGAGCTGTACTCTCTACATATAGAAATATGGAATAATAAATTAGCAGCTTACTCTAAATTTCCATTATTATACTATATTCAAAGTTTCAAATTTGTTTGATTTGGACCATTAGCCAAGCTTCCTCCACAAGATATGCAGCTTCAGAATGATAGAGTCATAAGCTCAATGCATTACACTCTCTACATCTGAAACCCTTGAGTGTCTGCCAAACAAGCAACAGAGCCTCCTGATTCTGTCCCAACTCAGGCGACTAATTCCCAATCCATTAGCATCTCCCATAGCAAATAGCTGCAATCAAATATGTCTGGCTTTGCTGGTGATACTTAATGCAAGGGAACAATTTGTAAAATTGATCGGGAAAAACGAAATACATTCTAATTATTCCTCTTAAAAGTGGATGAAATTAGGATCTCTCTTACCCAAGAGAACATGATCTTACCTAATAAATCCCAGTAATATCTTGGGTTTTATAGTCTTTCTAGAATGCTTATGTATGTATTCGTATGTATTACTAAATATTTCAAAGACAGATATTCAAATTCTAGTACTTCCCCTCTAGCCCTTGGCTAGCTTTTTATGGACTCCAAAAGGCTTTCGGGATGGGAGAATGTCCTGCTCACATGTATAATACCAAATGCAAATTACTATTGTTGGGCTGTAAGGGTATCACCTGACAATAGTGTATACACATGTGTTCATCCACCACTTTTTTAGGATGAAATTCTTTAAATGGACATGCCAGCTTTCTTCTTATTTATACATGAATTATGTTTATAAATTAGATGGCAAAATTTAAATCTATATTTGCCATTGAAGGCAAAGTGAGATAAAAAAAATTTGGAACAAATCATGAAGAATATTTTGTTATTAAATAAAGATTTGATTTTTGAATTTCTATATTCATAGGTAATACTTAATAATCCCATTATTAATTGTATACCTAGAAATCTTATAATCATCCAAACTATAGGTGTTCCTAGTTTTTGTAGGAGCAAAGTGAAAATTAGAATGTTCTCAGATCCTTCAATGTCAACTTTGTAAAGATTTTTCTAGAAATGGAGAAAAAAAATTTATAGTAGTAGAGTTTTCACATCACTCCCACATTTAATTCTCACAATCATCCTTTGAGTTAGCACAGATTTGTCATTGCCTCATAAAAATGAGAAACAAGTTAAAATGTGACATGCAGAACTTGGATATAGAGAATCCAAGTGTTTGGACCTAATGATAATGTCTGGACCTCAGCTTTAGCTCAAGTCTTTTCTCTGGTACTTAATAACTATGTGACCTCAGGCAGATAGTCATCAACCCAGATCTTTAAAGTGAAGCTGATAGCTCCTTCCTCCCAACATTTTGATAAGAACCAAAGGGCATAATCTTTATGAAAGCATTTTTGAAATTGTAAAATGCGCTATAAATAAATTAGTTTTTTTTTCCTGGTATCTATCACATTAGCACCTGTTACAAAGGAACAGTTGTAGAAAGACAATTTTAGTTTGCAAACATGTTCATTTAAAGGTTTATTTGGAACTGAAGAATTGCAGGAAGAACAGAGTGCCAGCCCACCCACTCCATCCCTTCCATGCTCACTTCCCTTTCTGCTGTGGCCCGATTTGACTTTAAGCTTCTCTTTTTCTTATTCATGCTTCATGGGCTTCTACTCTGACTCATTGAATTCATCTTCAAAGAAGACATAGGCTATGTGTGTGTTGTGGGGGAGGGGTGGGAAGGCAAGCAAACATCTAGAAAAGAAGAATATTCTTTCATTAATTTGGTAATCTCTTCTGAAATGAAGATTTTTAAATGTTCTCCATCCTGCTTAGTCAAATTTTGCATTTCTTAGATTTCATTTTCTACAAGCATCTGGAAATCTAACTGATCTATTTTTAGAGCTTGAGGTTTATTTTTCTACCTACCATTTTCCAATTTTTTTTATTGTCAGGCTTACACTTTGTCAAATCTTATGTGTTAAGCATGACCAGGAGATGCTGACAGAACTCATGATCCGAGTTCTCTCTTTCAGCTCCTAAGGTGTTCCAGCGTGTTACTTCAAAACCAAAAATGTCACCAAGGCCAGAAGCGTCATATACTCCACCTGGTAAATGTTTTATTTCATATTTGAGCCAAATGCATTCTATTGTCACACTCTGCTGCAATGAGACAGAAGAGCTCGTTGGATATGAGGTCAATATTTCACTTATGTTCAGATAGCATGTTGTATCATACATGGCACGATCATTTCAAAGGTTTCATAGGACTTCTCTAAGTGCTCATATAGTAAGCTATTTACACAATCAAAAAGCAGAGACTTATGCCAAGAATAAAATGTTTCTTTTAGAATTAAAGTTCCCTTATCTTCTGCCTTACCAAAAAAAAAAAAAATGACCTGCCAATACTAACTCTGCTGTATTCCAATGTTCCACCAAAATAAGATAAAGAATTCAAAATTTTCCCCCAAAAAATGATAAAATTATGTTTTTACAAACAAAAGAAATTATGTTTAACCATTCTTGGGTTTAGAAATTTAACACTATCCAGCACTGAGTGTTTTTTCTGTTTGTTTGCTTGTTTGTTTTTTCTGTCAAATTCTTTTACCAGTTCATGGAGCAATAGCTTGGGTTCAGAAAAAAAATTGTTACACACACACACAAAATAAAGATTTTTTTAGCTATAAATTTATATCTTGCCTATCACTTGAGAAGGCCTTTGGTCCATTTATGAGGAATAATGTCATATTTGCGAGAGTAGCCAGGGTGGGGACTGCAAGGATCAGACCTTTTCTGGGTCTCGCCACCAGTGCTCCAGGTCTTCAAGTGGCCTTAAGAACTGTTAGCTGAACAGTTGCGTAATAAGCAAAACTAACACATTTTTAACTAGAGTACCTGGGAAATACTATCAGTTTTTTTCTCTTTCTTTTTAAAGATCCAATTATTATAAATTCCTAGTGCTCCTAGAAGCATATCGACCATTCCCAGGACCAAAAGTATTTCTAATCTGTGTCTTGAAATGATGGCATTTTGGAAGCAGGTCTGAATTCAGTTGCTGTAGTGTTTTCAGATTGTGAGTGGGAGGAGGGTGTTGTTGCTAGGGAATTATCTGGTTGTTGCAGGTGGTGGTAGGCTAGGGAGGGGCTCCTTGGCCCTGAAGCCTGGAATTTAAATTTGTATCACTAAACCGGCAGCCAACATTGTAAATGCCAATTAAACACACACACACACACACACACACACAACGATGATCTTCCCACTTGCAAAAGATTGGCTTCTTATTTTCAATTGTGGGGAAAAAAAGTAACAGAAATTGAGTTACTACAAATAACAGCAGTAGATCTGAGTGATATTACTCACTTTTCTTTTTCAAGAGAGAAAGCAATACTATTGGTCCTGATGTTACTTGATCTCATTAAACCACTATATCAAATGAACTTTTTTTATTCTTTTAAAATGTATATTTTTTTTCAATTAATGTGCCTTAATTGTACGAAACACCTTTGTTTTCACAGAAATCCTAGCCTGTAAGTGAGCAGTGAAACAACAGTACAAACAGTTCCTATGGAGCCTCTGCCGGGCTTACTCTGTTAATTCTCTAAATCCAGTAATCCAGTTAGAATTCTGTCTCTAGATCTGGTGTTGGTCCCACTGATCTGTATTCATCAGGGAGTTCCCTGGTGCTCCAGGGACGTGAGGTCTATAGGAATAATCATGAGGCTACTGTTACTATGTTTCAAACAAGTGTTCAAACAACCTAGATCCTGTTGTGTTCAAACAGTTTCTGGGTTGTGTGTAGGCTCAGGTTTGCCTCCTGATAAACTCAAGACCTTGTTTATAGGCTCCTGATGGTTATTTCCCCAAAACAGAGGTAAATTACGTATGTACTTAATATTTATTGATATCCTAGAGAAATAGATGCTCTGTAAAAGTCTAAAAAATGCAAAATGTGCTGAAATCAGGACAGTTATGTTTTATCACAATGTTTACCTCAAAATTTATACTGAGAGCTATCAGTGGTAGCAAAGTTGAATTTTTAGACCTGGATCCGATTTGCTGGGAGCAAACCAGGAAGAAAATCTAGATTTCTGCAAGCTATGCAATCCTCGCAGCTGTTCTGCGTAAACCGCTCTTTTTGGCAAATTCTAACTTGCAGTCACACTGCAGCACATTTGCACTTAGGAAGTAAGGGAGTGATGCTGAAATGCCTTTGAGATGGAATTGCTAGGGCCTAGAACCCTAGCCAATGACTGAATGGTGTTAGGGAGAGAAGGATGGCCCTGCAGGAAGGAGTAAAGCTTGTGTTCAGATGTGCTGGGTTTGCAGGGCCAGTAGGATGTTCCAGTGGAAATATCTGACTGGTGGTTGACATGTATTTCAGGATATCTAAACAGAAGTCAAGCTGTGGGATGTAGATTTGGGAGTCGCCTGCATAGAAGGTTCTTAAATCTTGTGAGTGGATGACATCATCCAGGAGAAAGGACAGACTGAGGAAATAAGAGGTCAGACATCAAAGCCTTGGGCAGCACAGTTCTTTATAGGAGGAGTGGGCAGAGGAGGAGGAGCCAGCAGACAGGAGAGTCCCAGGGAAGATGGATCAGGAGGTGAGGCAGCAAAGGGTGGTCAGCTACGCCTGTGAGCGGTCAGAATAGCTGCTGGACTTGATAGTTCAGGTGCTCAAACCTGTATCTGAAAACCATGGTCTGATGTTTTGGAATTCAGCAATTTTCAGGTTGCAAGCATATTAATGTGTCTGCCGTGAGAAGTATGAAGAGTCATACTACACAAGACACATAAAAACTGCAAAGAGGCCAGTTCTAGTTAGGTTTTGCTGTGAAATAAGTTTGGTTGTTTGTTTGTTTTTAATTTTTCGGTTTCAGAGCATTTTGAACTTCAAAACCATGGGTGAGGAATCGTGCACAGGTCCATGGTTGTAGAAGGTCAGTGCAGTGGAAGCCAGACCACAGTGGATGGAGGAGATGTAATTGAGAGACCAGGATGCAGAGGCAGATAGAAGGTTTTGATTAAAGCAGTGGTTCTCAACCTGTGGGTCGCGACCCCTTTGGGGGTCGAACAACCCTTTCACAGGGGTCACCTAAGACCATCGGAAAACACATATATCTACACTAATAAAAGAGAAACATGGTAATTAGCGTACGACCGCTACCCTTCCCATTGGCTAATCAGCATATCCTTATGCAAATTAACTGTCAGCCAAGATGGTGGCCGGCAGCCATGCACTGAAGCGAACAGGGAGGCTTGCTTCCTCCAGTGATGGCGAACTCCAACGTTCCCCGCCGGCCTCTTAACTGCAACTCTAAGCAACTATGTTGCAAATATAGAAGCTAAACAAAACCCCAGAAACCAGCTTTCAGTCAACCAGGCTTCAGCCAGCCGGACCGCAACATTGTTTCAAATACAGAAGGTAAACAAAGGCCAGCTTTCAGCAGCGAGGCCACAGAGCTAAAGCCGGCTCAGAATAAAAGAAAAAAAAAAGAAAAAAAGGAGCAGTTGGGAGCTTCAGTCACCCGCCAACCTGAAAACGGCCCTCAGCCCCTCAGCCAGCCTGGCCAGGCACCCCAGTGGGGACCCCCACCCTGAAGGGGGTGTGACCAGCTGCAAACAGCCATCATCCCCTCATCCAGGCTGGCCAGGCACCCCAGTGGGGACCCCCACCCTGAAGGGTGTGTGACCAGCTGCAAACAGCCATCATCCCCTCATCCAGGCTGGCCAGGCACCCCAGTGGGGACCCCCACCCTGAAGGGTGTGTGACCAGCTGCAAACAGCCATCATCCCCTCATCCAGGCTGGCCAGGCACCCCAGTGGGGACCCCCACCCTGAAGGGGGTGTGACCAGCTGCAAACAGCCATCATCCCCTCATCCAGGCTGGCCAGGCACCCCAGTGGGGACCCCCACCCTGAAGGGGGTGTGACCAGCTGCAAACAGCCATCATCCCCTCATCCAGGCTGGCCAGGCACCCCAGTGGGGACCCCCACCCTGAAGGGGGTGTGACCAGCTGCAAACAGCCATCATCCCCTCATCCAGGCTGGCCAGGCACCCCAGTGGGGACCCCCACCCTGAAGGGGGTGTGACCAGCTGCAAACAGCCATCATCCCCTCATCCAGGCTGGCCAGGCACCCCAGTGGGGACCCCCACCCTGAAGGGGGTGTGACCAGCTGCAAACAGCCATCATCCCCTCATCCAGGCTGGCCAGGCACCCCAGTGGGGACCCCCACCCTGAAGGGGGTGTGACCAGCTGCAAACAGCCATCATCCCCTCATCCAGGCTGGCCAGGCACCCCAGTGGGGACCCCCACCCTGAAGGGGGTGTGACCAGCTGCAAACAGCCATCATCCCCTCATCCAGGCTGGCCAGGCACCCCAGTGGGGACCCCCACCCTGAAGGGGGTGTGACCAGCTGCAAACAGCCATCATCCCCTCATCCAGGCTGGCCAGGCACCCCAGTGGGGACCCCCACCCTGAAGGGGGTGTGACCAGCTGCAAACAGCCATCATCCCCTCATCCAGGCTGGCCAGGCACCCCAGTGGGGACGCTTTAATTATGTTCAATTTATAACAATGAAATTGGGGGTCACCACATTAGGAACTGTATTAAAGGGTCGCGGCATTAGGAAGGTTGAGAACCACTGGGTTAAAGGATGAGAGCAAGAGAGGGATGGTGTGACAAAGGAGCCATGTCAGGGGATGACTTTTTTAAAGATAGTGAGGCATTTGATCTGTTTTACAGGTAGAGGGGAAGAAATTGATGGACAAATGGAAATATGGACTATTGGAGAAAAATATAAAATAATAGAAATAATGGAAAGTAAAAGGTCCCAGAGACATGGGAGGGAGCGTGGCCCAAGACCCCAGGTTGAGCTTGCAAAGTGGCCTCCAAAATAGCAGGGAACCTGCTTCCTCTCAGACTGGACCTCAGGGAACAAGGTCAGAATAAAGGGATAGAGAGCTGGAGGTGGAAGAGTGTGTAGCCTGCATGTATTACTTTGCTATGGGACCAGTCTCTTTGTAGCCTGTTGCAGGGTAAACCTTATTGCAGATTTCATATTTCGCCATCTTTGTCAGGGAATAACATATTGATTCTCTCACCTGGCATAACATCCAGTCACATTCGTTTTCATTTGTCCATATTAGACATGTTCCTCATAATTGTCGTGTGTTAGTTGAACTTTTCTCTGGAGCGGTGCCCTTTATTCAAAAAGATAGTTCATTTCATTGATTGTTTCATTAATATACATGGTAAGTTAGTTAATATAACTGAGTCCAAAATATGATAATGGTAAATATTCTTATAAGGAAACCAAAAGTTTTCTCTTAAAAAAAATTGTGATTATTTACATTGTTTCCCCCAGCATGGAAGGTTTAGGTTTTAGGCATCATGCCCTTTTTTAATGTAATACACAGAGGCATGCACATGGGGGAAAAGGAAAAAAACAACAACTTGCATTTCTTGAAGCTGCAACTGACCAAGCAAGAGAGTAATTCATAACGCTTTCCCATGAATATTTCTATATTTTTTCTCTCCACTGATTTTAGCTGCTTTAGAAAGCCTGCTGTGGCAGTTTATTAAATCATCACTTCATGGTTACCAAGTGCCAATCGCAGCAGCAGGAATCCACATTACCCCAACCCAAATTCCCCAGGCAACTGAAGCAGTAGCGAGGAATGCATTTACAATATGGTGGATTCATTGGTTGCACATTTCTTCTGGGTCTCCTTTCCTTAATCCCAGCTCCCTCTGTATAGTCTAACACTGTAACCAATTAGGTTATTTATAAACTACTGGCACTTTGTATAGTCATGACCTTCACAGACCCAAATCCAAGTACCTTCTCCTTCACCCTCCAGATAAACATTTAGTTTGATTTATAACATGAAATTCCTCATATTTTACCATTTGAATTCCCCAAAATACTACACAGCAAAGGTGAAACAGTCACTGTAATGATGGGTTTTCTCTAACTTTGACAACCACTGATCTTTTTGAATTTGTCTTTTTCCTTCCAAAATAAAATCCAGATTTTTTAAATTCCCCTGGATATTACCTTTTAGTTTATAGAAGTTCTAATTGAGTCAAGTTTCTTTCCAATGTACCAAATTCCACTACTGTAATTTCAGTGGTAGTTAGCAGCCTACACTAAGAACAGATATGATATGTGCCTTAAATATGATCCCCCAAAGCAATAAAAAGTGAATGTCCATTTTATATAACCTATTTTAAACTAATGGTAAAGTGGTGCTTGGCCACCTGATACAAAGGTTTTTTTCATTTTTCTCTGAGGCAGAGTTCTAGCCTGAACTCTAATTATTTTTCCTCAGCATCATATAAGATGCAAGAAAATTACACTGCCTGCAAAGGGACTCTGGTATTTATGAAATCTTTGGAGTGGCAGGAAAGAAAACCTTTCAGTGAGAGAGCAGGGCTGAGAGGGATCTCCTTGTGGGGAAACTGAGTCAAAGAAGCACATTATCTTGCTCTTGGAAGAAGACTTTGCCATTGAAATCTGATTCTAGCAATAGGCAAATCCCCCTGAAATTTGCCCCACTGAGAAACAAGGTATCAAATTCTCAGCCTACTGTTTTATTTTGTTAAAATAGAATAGGACAAAGGTATCAAAAATATACTTGATACCAGGTACTGAATATGAATAGGTTTATTGTAACGCTGACATTTTCATATTCTCACTAGAGGCCCGATGCACAAAATTCATACAAGAGTAGGCCTTCCTTCCCCCGATTGCCGGCACCGGCTTCCCTCTGGCACCTGGGACCGGGGCTTCCCTCGCAGCCCTGGCTTCCTCCAGAAGGTCGTCTGGAAGGACATCTGGTCTAATTAGCATATTATGCTTTTATTATTATAGATATGTCAGGAGGCCCTGATACCTAATATACTAAAAGCCACATCACTAAGAATGCCAAAATGGCAACAATTATCTAGTATTTACTATGAAACAAGCACTCCATCAACTTTTCATGTGGTATTTCTTTTTTTTTTCATGTGGTATTTCTAATGAGAGACTGATTTCCTTTTACTGTTTTCTTTGCTTAATAACTGTTAGCGTCTTTTAAAATAAAACTTTGTTTTTCTCTTAGATATTCAAGACTTTTATCTTTCTTGCTATTTTCATCAATTTTTAGGCCATTTATGCACTTTATCTAAGATCATGTATTTTCTATTGCTATCAATGGAATTTTAGTATGAATATCAAATGGCCCCTAACCACTTACTTCAGGGAAAAACTGACTTTCTATTTTGAAGTCAACTTGAGGGAGACCTACCTTCTTGTGTTTAATTACATTAGTTATTTCCTCTTTTTTTCCCTTTCAAGGGAAGCTTCAAAATGAACTGTGACCAACTCTTTTCCACTCCCACTAGAACCTTCCTGAGACAGTACCATTTTTCCACTTTGAAAAGAACGGTATCTCCTCGCCTTGCTCCTTAGTCACTGTGAAAGCACGCTTGCCTCATTCTCGCTTTCCAGGATTGTGTATCTGTGGATTGTTTCAGTCCAGGCATGACATTTCAAGTACACAGTGTTTCGTAACCTTTTCTTTCAGTTCCAGGAGACGTGCTCCGTCCCCAGAAACCAGACCACGAAGTCTCTCAGAGAGAACCTGGTAAATGAGCCTTTTTATTTTCCCAATTAGGAAGTATATTTTTCAAAAATATTCTTGAAGTAAATATTTTTAATGATTGTAGATGTGGAAGACGTTTGAAAAAAGTATCAATATAAAAGGTGTACTTTATTTCTTTTTGGGAAGGGGGAATCATACAATCTGTTTGAATTTTTTTCCCTGGTTAACACTAGGGAACAATGTGCAATTAGTTTATTTTTCCTAGAAGTGTTTTCATTGAATAGGAAATCATGTTAGTAGTATAATGCCTAATTATTAGCTGAGCCAACCATTTACACCTTCTTTCAAAATGTAAATATAACTACATTCCAACTGTGCATGTACTTTGAAGTAAAACATGTAGGACTTGACTCAAAAATGTTCTTAAAGTGGCAGTGAATACAAAATTTAATGTTTTAACTAAACTGAGTTTCCTGAGTGGCATCTATAGATATAATTTTCTCATATTTATCATGGTTCTTAGAGAATTGTTAAATGTTCAAATGGATGCATGTAGAAACACATAAATTATTTTTACTTCACCAGGTAGTAATTCTCATGAATATGTTTCTTTGGTTTCCTTTTGGCCCAGTTCTGCAGCCCGTTACCTTTAGAATTGATCCGCCAGAGACAACAATAGGTAATGGCTTTCCCATATTGACCAAGTCTAATTGTTTTCCTTGCCATCATCAGGATTACAGGTCTTTCTCAAATGATCATATTGAAACATCATCTCTTTTCACAACCGTTTCATCATTTCATTCTCATTATCACTCTTTCCAAAATAGAAAAGTAAAAGCTTTGCTCTGAAGACCAGCTTAAGACAGCTCACTACCAAGCCCATCCTCACCTACCTCATTTATCCACATGTTCCAAATGACTCCCCCTCACTCATGCCCATCCAGTTAACATTTTCTGCTGGTTTAGTGGTTCTCAGCTGTAGTGTTACGATATACTAGCAATTTGTGAGCGTTACTGGCAAGTAATTATCATTAATATTGGTCAAAATACTAAAATTTGCCAATGGTTTATTTTTAAAAATAAACTTGAGCAGACCTGCGATGATTGTAGCAAGCACAACGATAATATCCTCACTCGTGTTGTAATCCTATGTGCTGTGTTGGGTGGGAGAACTACAGCTGACAGACTCAGGACCAGGACTGGCCCACACCCCATCTTGCCAGTATGGTCATGGAGTTTGTCAAGCATTGAATGGCATTTATTATCTATCCTAGTGGCAAAACTCAGTTGAGAACCATTCTTTCAATATTTCAGTCATTTTCCTAAGGTCCTGTGCACACTTTATTTTCTTCTCCATAACTCAAAGTTTTCCTTTTTCTGTTTCAAATAAAGGAATCTCATATGATACTCTGAGCTGGCACTGGCTTTTGAATCTAGGGATTGAAAACTTGGTGCTTATCTTTTGCAGCTCCTTTAGAGACCCGAAGCAGCCCTTTCATCCCTATGATTTCACCAAGTTCTAGTCAAGAGGATCTACAAACCGCTCTGGGTAAATTTTGTTTTGATATTTCAGTCCAGTGAGGACCTTCCTTCTAGGGCTTGCTCTTAAAGAAACCATATTACATTGTGCTCATGTTGTTTCCAAGCGATAGAGGCTTTCTTTCTACCATTATAGAAAACCTCCACTTCACTTGATTCTTTTACATTAATTGTATATTTGTCCTAATACTTATGGTGATTTTTAATATAAAATGGGAATGTTTTAAATCACCTTGAAAAATTTTCAAGTATTCTAAAAAGCAGAATGTTCCCAAAGTGTATCAGTGCTATATGTTTTATTGTTTCTTCTGTATTTGAAAGTGCATTTGAAAGAAAAATTGTATCTAGTATTTATTGAGTATTTTATGGCACAATGCTAAGCAATGGGAGTTTCAAAATAAAACTGTTTTAAAGATGGATCCTTCCCCTGGAGAACTTGCCCTGTAATATGAAAACAGGATTTAGGGATAGTGGTGCTTCCTGAGTGCCCCTGAGGATGCTACCTGTATTTTTAAATTTAAGCCACATGACAACGTTGGGAGGTAGGTTCTATTACTTGCCCCATTTTACAGATTAGAAAATTGAGGCATAGAGGGATTTAAAATTGTGGCCAAGTCACACAGCTAACGTCAGAGCCAAATTGGAACCCACACACTCAGTCACCAGAGCTTCTGGGATTCACCCCAGTGTTATGCTTTACAAATGAGTGTGATAGAGAAATGAGCAAACTACCTGCAGGCATCAGGGAAGGCTTCACAGAAGAGGTGACATTTGCACTGGGTGTTTAAGTTGCAGTGACAGTTGAAGTTAAAAATGCAAGGTCCTTTCAGGTTAAAGACAGATGGGAATGAGCACAGGGCAGACTGGCGGCCAGTCTAATGTGGTGAGCACGCAGGTCACAGGGAGAAAAGTTGATGGATGAGTCAGGACAATTGTTTGGGATGAGCTGGCCATGCTTTCGGGGAGTTCATAGTGGGAAATCCCAGTCTGCCTGACTCTTGGCTGAAAATGAACCAGAAAACAAGTGTTCCCAGCTTGTGATTTTTGGCTCCTTTGCCTGTCGATGCTACATCACACATGACTGTGTTTAAATTAGTGGCCTTATTTTTCTTTCTTCCTTCCCTTTTCAAATAAACTCATTCTTTATGTATGGCTGCTGAGACGAAGTTATGGGTCACATTTTAAAATAAAATTATTTTGGAGAAAAAAATTAAAAACTGAATGAGCAAATATAACCTGATTACCAAATATTCGTCTATTGTAGTCTAGGCCCACAAGGTCAAGATCACCCATGAAAATGAATCAAAAGTACTTTCAAGAACCCATGCCAGATAGGCTAATTATCCAACTTCCACTCCCTATTTTTTTAAATGTATTTTGCTTTATTGAAGCAAGAATCAGCACCTCTCATTTATCTCAAGTATCTCTCATGAGCCAAATCCAGATTATAAAACAGAACAGAAACACAAAAAAGATGACAGTATATTATTTGCACAAAGTTTTTCCTTGGATCCAGTATATGCCAAAGTGAACAATGTAATTTTCTGTCTGCATGATGTGGTAATGAGTCCAAGATAATATTGAAGGTGTAACTATTGCCATACTTATTTCTTTTTGAGGGAGTGGAGAAGGGGTCAGGAGAAGTGTGTCTATTTGTCAGTAAACATAAACTTTGCTTTTCACACGAGGAAAATAAAAGAAAATGTATTCTTATATGGTACAAATACACATAGTTTCATCTGATCTATTTCCTTTCCAGCTCACCTAAATAACTTGTGGAATAATTTATGGAATAGGAAAAGGACATGAAGGCGGTTAGGAGACACATCCAAGTATCATAACTTCCAGTATCATGAAATAATGATCCTGAGCTAAAAGATTTTTTAAAATCATTAAAATAATGAGTGCAAGAAGAGAGAAAATATAATAAATGGGAGTTACTAAAATCTACTATTAACTTTGAATTATTATGATTACTGGGCATACTGATAAATGCAATTTACCCTTTTATTATCACTTGTTTATAATGTTAATTATTTAAAGCAAGCCCTCTTACTGTGCTTTTCCTCAGCAGAAACAGACCAATCCACCCAAGAGCTCTTCACAACTAAGATTCCACGAACAACTGAATTGGCAAAGACAACTCGGGGTAATACTATTTTCCCACCTCTGTAGAGTAACTTCTTTTCTTCATTTTAAATTAGGAAATACAATTTCTTTACAGAATGTGATTTCTCATCACAGTGCATTACTTGATTTTTTTTTTCATTTCATAGGTGCAGGACATCAGCCAAATATTAATGTCCATATGACTATCAGTGAATGTCGGAAGACACGTTTTTTAGTTAGAGCTTTATTTTTGAGTGGATGGCTGATAACTAACAATGAAAGCTCTCTTTTGTTATTCCTTGATGGACCTTCATTTGCCTCATTTTCTATATCTGATAAATAAGAATCTTTATTAGCTTTCCTCTCCTCCACCCTCCACCACCCTCCTCTTTCTCTCCTTTTTTTTTTTTCTGTGCCCAACTTGCTGGACACATTGATATGTGGCCCAAGGAAGGAAACTAGGAAGAAGATATATCAGTTTTTAAAGATGATTTAATATTTAAATTTCCAGGAAACATTTCTCTGGAATGTCCATTTTTAATTTCTTCTTTTCTATGTTTTGGAAATTAAACTCGGCTACACAAACTTCTATCTCATCTTCATGCGTTCTGAAGGATGTTGTTGTCCTCTCTGCGTTATAATCATTGTGGATGTCCAGTATTTTTGTGTGTTCTTTCTTCCTTTTCCCCAAAATGACCCCTTTTGCCCATCTCTGCCTCTTTCATATGGAAGTTAGCCTAAAAAGCAAAAGCAAATATTTTTTAAGGAGTTAGAAGACAAATTTATTCTTTTGTTTATTATAATTTTGTTTGGGGTGGGGGGATTTTCCCCCCAAATAACCCCTTTTGCCCATCTCTGCCTCTTTCATATGGAAGTTAGCCTAAAAAGCAAAAGCAAATATTTTTAAGGAGTTAGAAGACAAATTTATTTTATTATTTTGTTTATTATAATTTTGGGGTGGGGGGATTTAATGAAAAAAATTTGAAATAATAAGAGCAAATGATAACAATAAAAGAAGTCTAACTTTATGGTGTATATTTTATAGTAAGTAGAGCAATATGTACTTATTCAATAAGTGTGACTGAACACTATGGCATAGGACAGTTCTCATAATTTTTCTAAATTATTTTTACTTATTTGGTTTAATTTTTATTATGTTTTAAATTATTATTTTATTGTTTGCTTTATCACCTTTCTACGTATTCACTTTTTTATTTATAAATCCACACAGAAGCCTAATATACTGACAGCCCTCCCACATCCTCATTAGTAACAGATGTTTAATCATGTTACATCCATACTCCACCCTCATTTTTGAATGTTTATTTTTTTATGTTTTTGCAAACTTCTTTCATGTCTGGCTTCATGGAAGATAGCTGGATTAATTTAATTAATAATCAAGCACATTAATTTTTTGCAGGAAAATAAATATGTACTTACACTAAGCAGAAAAAATAAAGACTATTCAGCGCAGGTCCTGTTACAATGAGAAAGCTTTCAGCTTTTTAGCGCTTTATAGGTTTCAGAATGGAGGATGAAAGATCATAGGGCTGTTCTTTAATTTTGCATTTTATTACTTTAATGGGAATATCATTATTGTGTTACTAGCATGAATGTATGTAGAATTTTTATCAAATTCCTTCTAAAACGTGGTTTTCTTAGATAGAAGTTTCACAGTTGATTGGATATATATATGTCCAGGATTTGATATCATTATATGAATTGTCTTAACATAGTGATATAACATACTACGTTTTAATTATTTTCTTATGTTCTGAGAATCCTTAGCTTAAGTCTCAGCTGCATTGCCTGGGAGTCGCACTTTTCTAGACTGTGCCAAGGATCTTGAGAGTGGCTCACCAGAGATTCATTTCCATGAGGTGACAAGGGACATCCTGGGAAAGAACCCATCTAAGGATGAGAGTAACAGCCACAACCTGGCCCAGCCCTATAGCCCTACCTGGGAGTAGAGGGACAACTTTTAGTCAAGGCAAGATGTGTGTCTCTAGGAGCACCTTTGGCCCAGTCCTCGTAAACGGCTGCCCGAGCTCTGTCGAAGGGGCGGCCAATCACCTGTTTTGTTTTGGATGTGCTGTGCTGTTTTATTTGTAACATCAAGCATCAGGAGCACAAGACAGCACAAAATACTCGGATATAGATTCTGTCGGGGTGAAATGGTTCCTCTTGAACTTCGCACTCTATGCGTGCCCTCCAATCCCTCAAACAGGGGGCCCAAGTGCTCCAAGGAAACTCCAGCACCTCCTCTGTGGCCCCTTTGCTCCATTATCTACTGAGACAGTTCCCTGAAGCACGCTACAACCCTGAATACTCAGACACTCCTGCTCTGCCTTTCTCATTGCCACCCATGGGAGAAATCCACTTGGCAGGTGCATTTGGGAAGCATTTTCATTATTTTACTGCTTGCAGCCCCTCATACTTACCCACCCAAGGAAAGTTGAATATACTCCTTCCCCTCTCCCTGTATCATTCACAGTGTTTCTCCAATAATCCCTGTTTGTTTAGTTTTAAAGTTCATTTTACATAGATTTTTATAGAACTATTCAGATATGAAGCCATCTTTTAAAGTTATTTTTATTATTGGTCACCAAAAACTACATGGAGATGATGTTTACATAGTTACATTGTCACAAAGCTCCTTTGTCATTTTTTTTTTTTAACTTTAAAACTGAAACCCTAGAGTAGATTTCTCAAGGCCATGAGATGTGTGAGTAACTCACAACCAAAACTTAAAATTATATTTTGGCTTTTTTTATAAAAGTTCTTTCTAGATTTAAGTAGAGACTGTGGAACAATAAAAAATCCTGTGACTTTGAAATAATGAATATAGTGCTGATTATCTTTGTGTTCTGCTCTAAGTCTCTTCTAACTAAAGTTTCTAAAATTTAAATTTCTTCTAAAATGAGACTAATAAGAACCATGATCATTGTAGTTCTTTAAGAGAAAGCAGTCTAACAGAAGAAATTAATATGAAAACCTGAAATATTATTATGTTGAATTGACAGATAATCCTATCATTCTCAAAGAAAATTAAAGAAAAACATGGGCTAATCATCATCACCCATTTTAGGGTGTGTAAGAATTCATATTTTATAGCATCGGTGTCTCTGTTCACTCTAGTTATTACACTTTGAGGGGCCCACACTGAATCCACAGAGAATATCAGTGTGTGTCTGCTGGTTTTGGCCTGAAATATGGCAAAATTCTGCTCATTGGTCTTCACATTGGAAGCTTATAAATGAGCTACATTATAATCTGTTTTGCAGGTGTTTTTTAACTTGTTAGGCAAAGCATTGCTGATTTATGGTTACATAAATACCCCCTCAAGATCTGAACAAAAGCAATGTAATTTACTTACAAGTTTGAAAAAAAGAATTTATTTTCTCCAGTCTTAGCTAAAGCATTACCAAGAAAGTTAAGTTAGGAGGCAGTGTGCTGTGTCAAGGGGGCAGAGGAGGGAAGGGAAGAACGGACAAATTCCTGTAGAATGCATATTTTAAAATCTTAGGAAGCAACCAACCTGAGTTTCTTGTGAATTTGCCTGTTT